AATGGTAAGATCGTGGATTCCTTCTTTTCTCATCCCATTTTCCTTTTGTGGTTTCTTTTCAAAACCTGCAATTTCAACTTTGGATGGTAAGATCTTGGATTCCTATTTTTTTAATGCCATTTTCCTTTTAAAGCTTGCTTTCAAACAGCTCCAAGAATGAACTTTGGATGGGTAGATGTGGAGGAAGGGGCAGGGAGCACCACAAATACATGCTTAATCCCAAACATCCTTTAAAAATTCAGTCTTTTCATGGTTCTAGAGGATATTCTATCTATAGTTTTGCCCAACTGTCCTAGCACAGTACTAGCACAAAATGAACTTTGGATGGTCGATCTTGGATTCCTACTTTTCTTTTTTAATACTTTTCTTGCTTTCATCTCCTTTTCCTTTCAGTCTTTTCATGGTTCTTTCTATCTTCAAAAACCTGCAAGACTGAACTTTGAATGGTAAGAATGGTAAGACCGTGGATTCCTTCTTTTCTCATCCCATGTTCCTTTTGTTGCTTCTTTTCAAAAACCTGCAATTTCAACTCTGGATGGTAAGATCTTGGATTCCTACTTTTTAGATGTCATTTTCCTTTTAAAGTTTGCTTTCAAACAGCTCCAAGAATAAACTTTGGATGGGTAGATGTGGAGGAAGGGGCAGGGAGCACCACAAATACATGCTTAATCTTAATCTCAAACATCCTTAAACAATTCAGTCTTTTCATGGTTCTAGAGGATATTCTATCTATAGTTTTGCCCAACTGTCCTAGCACAGTACTAGCACAAATGAACTTTGGATCGTCGATCTTGGATTCCTACTTTTCTGTACTTTTCTCATCTCCTTTTCCTTTCACGGCTTTCTATTCAAAAACCTGCAAGACTGAACTTTGAATGGTAAGATCGTGGATTCCTTCTTTTCTCATCCCATTTTCTTTTTGTTGTTTCTTTTCAAAAACCTGCAATTTCAACTCTGGATGGTAAGATCTTGGATTCCTACTTTTTAGATGCCATTTTCCTTTTAAAGTTTGCTTTCAAACAGCTCCAAGAATGAACTTTGGATGGGTAGATGTGGAGGAAGGGGCAGGGAGCACCACAAATACATGCTTAATCCCAAACATCCTTTAAAAATTCAGTCTTTTCATGGTTCTAGAGGATATTCTATCTATAGTTTTGCCCAACTGTCCTAGCACAGTACTAGCACAAAATGAACTTTGGATGGTCGATCTTGGATTCCTACTTTTCTGTACTTTTCTCATCTCCTTTTCCTTTCACGGCTTTCTATTCAAAAACCTGCAAGACTGAACTTTGAATGGTAAGATCGTGGATTTCTTCTTTTCTCATCCCATTTTCCTTGTGTTGCTTCTTTTCAAAAACCTGCAATTTCAACTTTGGATGGTAAGATCTTGGATTCCTACTTTTTTAATGCCATTTTCCTTTTAAAGCTTGCTTTCAAACAGCTCCAAGAATGAACTTTGGATGGGTAGATGTGGAGGAAGGGGCAGGGAACACCACAAATACATGCTCAACTCCAAGCATCCTTTAAAAATTCAGTCTTTTCATGGTTCTAGAGGATATTCTATCTATAGTTTTGCCCAACTGTCCTAGCACAGCACTAGCAAAAATGAACTTTGGATGGTCGATCTTGGGTTCCTACTTTTCTATACTTTTCTCGTCTCCTTTTCCTTTCACAGCTTTCTATTCAAAAACCTGCAAGACTGAACTTTAAATGGTAAGATCGTGGATTCCTTCTTTTCTCATCCCATTTTCCTTTTGTTGTTTCTTTTCAAAAACCTGCAATTTCAACTTTGGATGGTAAGATCTTGGATTCCTACTTTTTTAATGCCATTTTCCTTTTAAAGTGTGCTTTCAAACAGCTCCAAGAATGAACTTTGGATGGGTAGATGTGGAGGAAGGGGCAGGGAACACCACAAATACATGCTCAATCCAAGCATCCTTTAAAAATTCAGTCTTTTCATGGTTCTAGAGGATATTCTATCTATAGTTTGCCCACCTGTCCTAGCACAGCACTAGCACAAATGAACTTTGGATGGTCGATCTTGGATTCCTACTTTTCTATACTTTTCTCATCTCCTTTTCCTTTCACGCTTTCTATTCAAAAACCTGCAAGACTGAACTTTGAATGGCAAGATCGTGGATTCTTCTTTTCTCATCCCATTTTCCTTTTGTGGTTTCTTTTCAAAACCTGCAATTTCAACTTGGATGGTAAGATCTTGGATTCCTATTTTTTTAATGCCATTTTCCTTTTAAAGCTTGCTTTCAAACAGCTCCAAGAATGAACTTTGGATGGGTAGATGTGGAGGAAGGGGCAGGGAGCACCACAAATACATGCTTAATTCCAAGCATCCTTTAAAAATTCAGTCTTTTCATGGATCTAGAGGATATTCTATCTAGAGTTATTATTCAACCATACATATTATATTTACATATTTTATATCATTCACATATAAAGCATATGTTTCAATCATAGTAAACACCATACATATTATATCTACATATTTGATATCATTCACATACAAAGCATATATTTCACACAGAGTGCACCCTACACACTATAGTAGCACACTCGGTCGCTTTCCGGGGCGTCCCCCACATAGGGGGGTGATGACGGGATTCTGGAATCCCGTCACGTTTTTTGGCTATGCTCCCTTTACGGGGGAGCCGAGTTGTCAGCCCCTGGCAAGATCTATAGTTAGAATATCCCTGAAAAGGTCCCGGTTGGAAAAACAATCACATGTTGTCAAAGACAATTTTCTTAATTGGATTATACCCAGTGGTATTTAACAACATGTGCTATATCAATATATTATCCAAAGTGGTATTATAATTTGTGGATTCTGAAAATACCTTTTGGGCTGTATTCAAAACCACTGTTGGTTCATGATCATGTATATAGAGTTTGATTATCCAACAGTTTATATCTACGTTCGAATTCAAAATCTCCAGGAGGTCCGGTGAGCACACCAACTCAATTACAAAACTGCACATCTTCAATTATCAATTATCAATTTTGTAGGGGTGATCATTTTACCCACACCCATTCCTTTATTGGGTTTGACTATTTGGGCATCCCGGGAACCAAAAATACCATTGCCAAAGAATCTACAACACATGGAATGGTTTTTGGAAACCTGCCGTTGTTAGCAGAATGCAGTAGGGAGGGGTCAGCACAGTGGTTGATACCATAGATAGAATATGAAAGGATATAGAAGAATATGGGGATGGATCAAAACCTTCTGTCCCAATTACACCCAATTCTAGACAGATTACTTTTTAAAGTAGCTGGTTTTGATCGATGTCCAAATTCAAAATCTTCAGGAGGTCCGGTGAGCACACCAACTCAATTACAAAATTGCACATCTTAAATAATCAACTATCAATTTTGTAGGGATGATATTTGGACTCACACCCATTCCTTTATTGGGTTTGACTATTTGGGCATCCCGGGAACCAAAAATACCATTGCCAAAGAATCTACAACACATGGAATGGTTTTTGGAAACCTGCCGTTGTTAGCAGAATGCAGTAGGGAGGGGTCAGCACAGTGGTTGATACCATAGATAGAATATGAAGGAATATAGAAGAATATGGGGATGGATCAAAACCTTCTGTCCCAATTACACCCAATTCTATACAGATTACTTTTTAAAGTATCCGATTTTGATCGATGTCCAAATTCAAAATCTCCAGGAGGTCCGGTGAGCACACTGTAGCTAAATGGGTACGGGTCAAATTTGGCCCCAGCTCAATTTCAAAATTTCACATCTTAAAAAATCAACTATCAATTTTGGGGTGTGATCATTTGACCCACACCCATTCCTTTCTTGGATTTGACTATTGAATACCACTGCCAAAGGATCTATATTTCTGGGAACCACCAGCAACAGTGACAATTTCTTTGGAAGATTTTGGGCTGAAATTCGCATGCCAGAACCTAATACACCAGCATAATGACAACATTTGGTGGTCATTCCAAAGGCCCAAACAACCAAATCACAAGCTAAATGACCGCTTTTGTGATCATTTTTGAGGGACCTTTTTTTACCAATCATCGACCCGGATTTTTGAGCCATTTTGGGATTCTATCTATAGGTTTTTTTCGGACCGTTTTTTTTTTGAAATTCCAGAGATTCTATCTACTTCAGGATGGTTATATATATATATACATATTATGGTTACATAAACATCTATAATATTATAATATTGGTAAGGATAAACACATTTTTGGGGCCCAACATATACAAGGGGGATGAACATCATTTGCTATCTATAGGTGTTTTTTTAAATCCCGGCAGACAGACTGGTATATCCATAGCAAGTTGATATGGATAAACAAAAAAAACTAGTCATCCTGTGCATATGCAAACAATATGATTATCCACAACATATCGGATTTCACACTTTTTTGGCAGATTGGTATTCTATGGTATTCTATCCCCATGATATTCCCATGGTTTGTTAATGACCAGTGATTCCCATGTCGACGCTTAAAAAGCCTTAAAATCTATAGCAACAAACTCCTACTTAGAACAAAATTATGTTTTTTTTTAAGTGTCCATAGAGCTCATAATATTCTCAGAATTATTGTTGGCAAATCATTTACTTATCACCATGAAATCAGACGTTCTTTGGCAAACCATAAAATGTTGGTAATAATTTCTTGTTGGCGAACCATTGTATGATCAAATAGAATCAGATCTTATCACCATTATCATAATTATTCTTGGCATACCATTGAAAAAATCGGTGGTTTCCTAAAACAGAGGGGTACCCCTAGTTATCATCCATTTTTATGAGGGATTTTCCATGAAATAAGCCACAAGGTGGTGCCCCCAAGATAGCGTTCAGTTGGTTTATAACTCCAATAACTATGGTTTATAGGTGATATATCTATAGTTAATAGGGCTTTATAAACCAATTTATAACGTTTGGGGGCACCACCAATAGCAACCGTTTTTGGGAAACCTCCCACTTTCGTCCGAACATCAGCTCCCACTCCTCAGCCTCACCTCGCGCCGAGGTCGCGCCGTACAAGACCACTTTCGCCTCAAAGGATCAGCCGCGCAAGGCGCGGTGCTCGCCGTGACGTTTCAAAAGGGTGATGAATGGGCACGGCTACGAAACCACATTAAACAACATTTATATAAATGTATATTTATATATATAGTATATGTTATAGATTCTATCTGATTTTGTTGGTTACGTCTTGTTGATGATTGCGAAACAACATGAATGTTACTGATTGGAACTCTTTCTGATTGTTTGTCACCTGTTGCTATTGCGGTTCATAATTACAGTATTTGTGAAGCAACCCACGCACAACAAGCGTTTTCTTCAACTTGTTATCAGTCACACCCCTTGGTGCTCTGCTGATCCCCTGTCTGTTCGGTCGACAATCTCAATTGTAAGCTGGGTAGTTGTTAGATGATATTAGATATTCTATGATATTCTTAGTATCTTCTATGATGACCAATCTTTTTGCCCTCCAACAAAGTGAAGAATCATTTGTTACCAAATTCCCATTGAGTTGAACCGAACCGCAGAAACAACATGACACAACTTCCCATCGGTGGTGCCACCGGTTGCCCAGTTTCAAGTAGTGGATACACTCAATGGATTGGTTTACAGGCTGGGTTTAAGGGAAAAATTACAGGAACCCCCCATATTTAATGGTAAAAAAAAGCATGGTTTCCGGTGAAGATTTGTTCCCTTAAACCAATCCATTGATACACTGCTGTTGATGGTTCCAAAAATATGACTGTATTTCTTGTTTGTGCCCGCTTGACGACTCACAATGTTGTTTATAAGCTTGAAATTGGTTCTTACCGATGCCAACATGGTCACTTTAAACTTGATCTGCAAGGTAAATATATCTATTCCCTTGCCCCTGGTTGGTTTCAAGCCAATGTTGATTTTCAAGTCAATGTTTCACAATGTTCGGCTGATAAGAGAAGAGACCATGATCGAATCATATGAGTCAGTTGGGGATATCAACTTGCTAGTTAAAATACACATAAGATGCTCGATATCAACCCAACAATTATGTTTTAGAAGGGGGATGATCTCGTTCAAACGGAGAGTAAACACCGGGAACTGGTTCGTTCTGAGCTTTATCGCGGACCTACTGAGTTGCATGGACTCAAGAAACAGTAGAAACATCAAGATCGGTCCATACCCATAGGATCCATGGTGCTGGTATATATACTAACATTGGGGGATATTGATGGTAAATGTTACCATATATAGCATACATGGATCCTATGGGTATGGATTTTCTTTGGTATTCCGTGGTATTCCATTATCAAAAAAAATCCTAGACCTAGGCTGCTTCAACATCCCTAGTGCCGTCTGAGTGACTCGATAGGGGCAGTGCGTGGGTTTGTAGGGCCACCCTGTGGAGACCACATAGAGACGCACTTGCGGCTCATCATCCGCGCGCGCGCGAGCCATGGAAAACTCGGACTTGACGGGATCTGATGCCAAGCTTTTGTAAGTCCCATTGTAGGTGTTTGTTTCTGTGGCTTATCTGTTAAAAAAAACAAGAGGGCAAGATGGATGAACGGATGAACATACAAAGTTGATGAATGTTAATATTTTGCTCCAGGTTGTGCTTTTGTTGTTTCATGTCTTCAGATTCTTGGCCTCAGCCAAGAAAGCTGGTTGATTCGCATCTTTGCCAGTGTGTCTTTCATGGGCCCAACAAAGCAAAGGTTACATACCGGGTCAACTGCGAGGAAATAGTCCTAGAATGTCTGATATCTTCTTCAACCTCCAACAATCTAAGAGGGAACCTTCTGAAAGGCTGCATTGAAAAGACCAATCATCATCCACACGTCTGAAACCTACGGCTCCGGGATCATGGCCTTATGGTCTTGGTGCATTGACCATTTACCTGACTTATTCATGGGTGTATGTACGTCTATACCATTGTATACCAATATATACCAATCGTTATATATAGTTATATATACACCCATGAAATCAATGAAAACTATGGTGTTGTCTGAACATGGGCTGGGATGGGCTGTCCCCAATTCAAGGGGATTATTATTGCATATTATGGCATTCATGATCATCATCATAATCTATCATGAATGCCATAACCCATAGGATCCATGTATGCTATATATGGTAACATGGATCCCATCAATATACCCCCAATGTTAGTATATATACCAGCACCATGGATCCTATGGGTAATCTATCATTAACCCATCAATTGATGCCTCCAATTCTCTTGTGGAACCGGGAAACTCGGCAGCCTCTCGAGGCATCCCACATTAAAAAACAAAACGATGGCCGAATCGGATGGACAACTGGGGATTTTTCCACTTTAGGGCCATCCTAAAATTGCGTAAAGCACGTAATATATGCACATATAATAGATACATATATACATATATATATACATACATACATAATATACATATACATATACATATACATATACATATATATATATATATGTGATAAAATATGATAAAATAATGGTAACACAGTAATAGTAAAGCACGTAAAACATCGTAAAACTGGTTGTGGTTGTTGTGGTGGTGGTAGTACGTAGTGGTTCCAGATCACCCATAACCATAGCATCACCATAGATGATCATTGATAGTCATGTTTCCATAGGACTTTGCACACATCCTGTCATCGCCGTTCTTTGTTTTGTATTTCTTCATTTTGGTTCTGTACCCATGCTTCGTTGATAAGCCCCATTGATACAGTATGGAACGCACATAGTTCTGCAACATGAATCAAGATAGTTGCAGTTCAGTCAACAATTCATAGAGCTGCGACGGACACACCTACCTGCTTATCTTGCGGGTCAAAACCATTAGTGCAGTTGTTGCATGTTTTTGCCCTTACCAGTTATAAATTATAAATGGGATTAAATGGGATTATACTGTAATATATATATATATAGATAGATACATATAATTATATATATAACCTTAGTTACAGGAGTAATCCCATTTGTAATTGTTAAGAGCCGTAACTATGGTATATGCTGCACCTATCCCGATGCATGGCGACAACGGTGACACAATTGGGGTACCAGGGCCAAACGCGAAGACTGAAATCACCAAAAACGAGCCTGGGATCTTGACATATCTTGACTGATAGCCAGTTGTTTGTGAAATTCCATGTCGATTTCTGCAAATCCCAATGCTTAGCTGATCAAATGCTGTTAGGCTGTTAGGTAAATCCCAGCCTTTTATTGCTGAAGTCCCAATTTTATCATGTCTCAAATCCTAATATCTTCGCCGGTAAAAACTCATTTTTTCTAGTAAAATGCCAATTCTTGTTGTTCATACTCTCCGCTAATTCAACATTATGGACAATTTCCCTTCAGTTCGATGATCTTCCCAGCTAGAAACCTCCATTTAAATTGCCCAGCCATGTTTGATTTGATCCCATGATTACAGCAAAAAGTTCCCCAGGTATTCCTGAATCATCCCCATATGATCCCATATTTTCATTGTATTTTTGAAGGATATTCCAATTTGATGCTGCTAAAACCCAGGATTTTCTCCTCCCGAACCATGGCAGCTGTACCTGCAACGGCCCGCGGCGGCGCCGCGGCTTCGCCAGCGGAGGGCCGATCGCTTCATACCAACCAGGTCTGAGGGGGCGCCCAGGGCCCCAGGTGGTGATGGTAAATTTACCCGGTGAAAATGAGGGTTTAACCGGTTCAAACCATGTTTAACCAAGAAAACAGGGGAATTTATAGTTGATATATGTTGATATAGCTGATTTATGTTGGCTAAGTTGGTTTATGACTCCAATAACTAGGTTTGATTTGGGGAATATAACATAATATAACTATAGTATATTAATTATTATTAATAATATTATAGTCATACAAAGGGGATTATAGATATTATAGATACCCTCTGGTTATTTAACATAGCCATGGAAAATCACCATTTTAATAGGTAAACCATCTATTCATGGGCCATTTTCCATGGCTATGTTAAATAACCAGAGGGTATTATAGACCAACTTATAACTGCGGGGCACAAAAAGCGACAACCATCCCGTTGAGACCGCCGACATTCGGACATTCGTCCGGAAAAACTCGGAAGTGTTCGAACGAAACTTCCTGTGAATACTACCCAAAGTTGGGATATGGTGGTTTCCATAAATGGGGTACCCCAATAGCTGGACGGTTTTTTTTGGGGAAATCGTATCAAAATGGATGATGACTGGGGCTACCCCCATTAAAAAAAAACTCCATGACTGGGGCCATTACAACTATGGAGAAACATGGCCATAGCACCCACCATAAGTGGAGCTGCACCCCCGGCCGTGGAATCGAAGGAGACCACACAACGGGATTTAACCCAAAAAAATAATGTGTATATATATATAATATGTATATCTGGTTGGTGGTATATCTACCCCTCTGAAAAATATGAAAGTCAGTTGGGATGATTATTCCCAATATATGGAAAAATCAAAGCCATGTTCCAAACCACCAACCAGTGTGTATATATATATATATATTATCGTGCTATGATTGAAAAAGAGGATGTGGGAAGATGATCAATAGGAATGGAATAGCTTCAACTAGCCGTAACTAGTGGCGATGGAATGGGGATATGTGGGGATTTAATGGAAGATTAGCCGGTTAAACCCATACAATGTGGCCTGTTGGCTTGTGTTCATCCTCCCAACTGTTTGTAGTCCAGAAACCAGAGTTGGCCAAGCTATAAACCAACTTACCGATCTTGGGGGAGCTTCACAATAAGTTGAAAGTTGCTTGGAATGCTTCAAACAGAATATCTGCAAACTGCAATCTCTGTATTTATAATGTGTATAAATATGTGTATATATATATATATATATATATATATCCTTTGTCAATATTATCCAACCGAAAAGGCACGGATTGTTACATGAAACGTCACCAAGTGTTGGTTTCGCACCTTGCTTCGTCGATGCCCATCATCCACCCAACCGTTCACCAACAGTTCACCAAGATGTCAAATCAACTGAATGTTTCTTACCATAAAGAGGTGGTATTGGTGGTATAAACATTAACATATGGGTGGTTTATGGTGGTTTATTATTGCTTTACACACAAAAAACTCTTGTTGTTTAAACTTCAACATACGCTGAGAACCGCTTTTCGATCCAGTGGTGTTTTGGCCTGACACACACACAAAAAAACGTGTCCTTGATGGTCCTGTCGAGCAATCAAACATGGACATGTAAAAATTAAGTTTCCCAAGTTGAACTATATGGTATTTTCCCATAGGGATTTCCCAGGTTAATCATGGTTAATAATGGTTAATTCCGATGATCTTCTCAGCCACAAATGGAGATTTGGGCAGCGCCTCAACCCATGGCAGCCATGGCAGCTTGCTGGCAGCTTGCTGGACATTGCTTGGATCCAACCGTTGTGGAACAAAATTGCTAGCCCACGCTAGCAGAATATAGCAAATAATCACTATCTCACAGATACAGTATCCGGGAAAATTATAAGATAGTGATTATATGTTATTATCAACCCCCAATGGCCAGCACAAAATATGGTTCCTGCATTTAAAGAAAGGCCGCCTGGATGATTTCCCCCGGTGAAGTCACAGCCGAGCTTGACCTTTCTGGCTCCAAATTTGTTGGAAGAATGAGGGGTTCAAAGACCCTTCTGATAATATAGCCTTATTCGCAGAAGGCCACTGATTTGGGAATGGGTCAAAATGATTGGACCCCCAAAATGGATCAAAAGGGATGGTTACAAGTACAAGAACAAAACAGATGTGCATTCCCGCAGTAAGAAAAGTTGCTGAGCAATACAAAAGGCTCGAGCCTCAGGAAATAACCGGCATCCCAATCGAAATTCCAAAGAATAACTGGGAAAAAACAAAAAACCGGATATGATTCTCAGGGTCTAAAATGTGTGGCATTTAAAATAGTTTAAAGTTACATGCTTGGAACCCAGCTTTGACAGTCTTTTGACTTAATTAACCCAAGTTATCTATGGCTCAAAGCTTCGAAAGGACACAGGTCGTTTGAGGTTCCGGGATGTTCAAGGCGTGTATATATCTGGGTAAATTATACTATTTCACTAACCTGAAATAAGGCCACCAACTTCTTGCGTTTTTTTTGGCCATTTGGGGATGATTCCCCCTGAATAAAACCATGATTATAATGAGATCGCAGTGAGGTCGTTATAATTTACCCAAATATATATATATATATATCATTTGAATATGTATGGCATATGTTTTTCATACAGCATATGGCATTTTTTTTTAGCAGTAATACGCATAGCATATATCACCCATACCCATTACCATCCATACCATACCATGGTGCCAATCTTGACCAAAGGACTGCTTTCCACACGCGGCGGAGTCTGGTAACCCTGGTCACCGCGACTTGCACTGTGCAAGAGCAACGCTGTTTGATGAAATAGGGGGTTCCAAATCGTATATAAACATACGTATATATATATATATACGTAGAGATATGCTATGTTGGATATACCCTATGTATCTATAATTATATATAATATATATGTTGTTGTAAATGTTACCATTGGCCGTGCCATATAGATATGTACCGTGAGGCAAATTTCACACAATTTTTATCACAAACGGTGAGGTACCGCGGGAATCAATCTGGCTGGAAAATCCTCCAGCCAAACATGGATGTGTTTCACCATATATATATATATATTATGCTAAGTTGGATATCCCCTATATATAAATAAGTATCATATATATATATATATGTATATTATTGTAAATGTTACCATTGGCCGATCTGACAGCTCTTAAGCTTATACAACCATATATATATATAATATATATATATATATATATATATATGCAGAAGGGGCCTGTTGGGATGCATAAGCCACGGCTACGGCTAAGCGCAAATACCTCCTGACTTCGGGGATGTCAGAGAGGTATGACTCAGAAATATCTATGGGAAAAATTGTTTGTGACTCACGGATTTCGAGCCAGATAGTCTATCACAATTAGTCATCCAGTCATCACAAAAACAAACCCATGAACCGAACCAATCAAGGTTTACCCAAACAAGCGGTTACACTTTTGTGTATCCCAGAGAACCTAGTACTAGAATCAGTTCTCATGCTGGTGATCACTCTTACAGGGTAGGTTTCCAAAGCTGTGATGTACCCTCTGGTACTCAATCATGGTTTGCTGGAAAATCACCCGGAAATAGTTCGAACAATCCATGGCCATGCTCGATGACACTGGAGGGAAAATTACATCCCATTGCAGCATATTCCCATGATATTCCTACAGCCTATCACATCTGATCCAGCAGGGTTTATCCCAGTTCTATTCGTGATCAGTGTTGTTTCATCATGGTTGTTGAACACTTGCCAACTAGGATGAAGATACGAAATACTCCCAACTGGTTTCGAACATATCCCAAATATCCTGTTCAGGCGTGTCATGGTTTCATATGGTCATTTCATCCAACGACAATTATACATTGTTATTATATATATTATATGCATATATATAATATACACATAATTATACATATATGTTAACTCTTCTAATTGAAACTGCAGCTCCAAGAATGGCGCTCAAGAATTTGCGCTGGTCTAACCACCATTCTCATCAAAAATCCTTGTCGCTTCAAGGAGCACCAGCGTAGCGTATAACTTGGGTGGTTGACAAAAGTGACCATTTGACCCTTCATGTTTGTGTCGCTATGCGCATATAATTCACATTGTGGTTCCTGTGTTAAACAAAACAGTGGCCTTGCTAGTGAATGGTCTGGATGGTTCTGTCCGGATGACTCTTGTTGCCCTTGCATCTGTGTCACACCTGCCTAACCCGGGGCGAAGGGAGCTCCGACTTGCGTGCGTAGCACAGCGCACTGTACTTCATGGCGCAGCAAAAGGCTTTGCCCGTAATGGTACGCAGAAAATAAAAAACGCTATGTTTGTTCCAGTCTAAAGAGTGTTTAACCATCCACATTCCATATGTTTGGTTGGATCCCGTGTATATATATATATACAGTATATTGATATACACATACATATTATATCATAGAATGGCACAGCATAACATAATGTTTAATTACATTGCATTCCACTACATTGCATTATTTATAGATTAGAAATGTGCTTCTGTCCGATGCCCACATTTCAAACATCCCATTCTAAGGCGGATTAGAAAAATAAACATGCTGTGCTTGTAATATGGAAATATGGCTATCTCTAATGATTATATTACATGGTACATATCTAATGATACATATTACAATAGACAAACCCCTCTATGTAATATAATATCTAATGATACATCATATGTTTGTCTATCTGTCTGTCTGTCTGACAATTTGTCTGTCTATCGGGATCCATCCATCTGCGTCTACTTGTCTGGTTCTATATATATATATAACCCACATTTGCATCGCAACCAATTGCTTTTGCTCACAGGCCTGTTCGACTATTGCCAGCTTCAATCGGATCGATGCACAATCTTTTGCAACCATGTGATTTGGGCTGCTCAGGATCGAAGAGTCCTAGACACTTCGCATGGACAGTATTTTCGCATTGTCATCCCTCCACCGCAAGAGGAATTTTTGGACACGGAAGTAGCAATTGGTATAGCTAGGGATCTTGCCAGTGAACATGTTGCCTTTAGCCCATTGCCTACTGCTTGTACAGCAGGATTGTCACTTCGCCAGACAGCAGCCAGATCTTGCGTTGCCCGAGCCCCACTGACTTGCAAGACTGATCCCGATAGTGATTCGACATGGCACATATCGCATGTTCCTCCAAGTAGGAGTGATGCTGCCAACAGAGCTAATCACCTCACACGTGGCAATTTTGCCCCTGGAGCGCGAAGCCATCTCGAAGCTGCACTTGAAAGGGCTGATCTTGTTGAATGTGAGGAGGAAGGGCGAGTCATTTACCTTCACACTTGGTTCATTCATCACAGAACATTGCCCAGATGCTACGACGGCCGAGCATTGCGACTCACAGGAAACTCAATGCACTGGTTTGATGAAATTGCAGACACATGGGCTGATGTCATCCATCCAGGAGAGCCTATTTCCATTCGAATTGTGCAACCGCAGCCCCCCTGCAATCGCTTTGAATGTGTGCAAGCACACCTCCTGATTGAGCAAGCAGCCAGTCCTCACTTGGTTAGTGGTTTAGTCAGCTTTGTTGATTCAAGGGGCGGTGAACATTGGACCCACAGAGCACTTTCACTGCATCACCTTCAAACCAAACGTAGTCTGCTTGACGCTGCTGAACTCTCACAGTTTTGCTCAGTTCTTAGGTGCTCACTGACACACAATGACATTCCGCTTGGCCTCTTTGAGATTGATGAGATTGGTCCTGCTTGGAATTTTGTTGTACGGACTCTTCCCAATTTCATTGAACTTGCCAATGACACGGGTGATTTCAACAGTTTGATGCAGGCACCAACTTTCCGTCACACCGAAGTTGTTGCCCCACCTGACGCACCTGGGGACATTGGAACATGCGTAGCTTTGGAACGGCCCTCTCCATTGAACCCCAATGCTCCGGTGTTTGTGCCCGCGCAATCTGACATCACACAGCATCCAGCCGATATTCAAGCTATCTACGAAGTGTGGAGGTTTGATGCAAGTTCTTGGGAGCAAGAAACCCCAGCAGCACACTTCATTGTGTGGTTTCTCTGTCCTCCAAATGATCAGCGGCGTTGTCTGTATGGCAGAAGGGTCACTCTACATGACAATTTCCACCAATGGAGAGAGCGACTCATTTTCGCCTGGCGTGACTTGATCACACCGCACGTACCCACCGGTATTCATCTTGTGCAGCCACAGCCGCAAGTTCTTGAACCAGACATCACGGCGCATATTATCCTCACACAGTTGATGCCTGACCATGAATCTGGTGTCCTGATCACCATTGCGGACGATGCGGTTAATGATGCGCACCCTTTCAACCTTGCGGTAACTCTCAGTGACCCTTCCCTGCAGCCACAAGTCTTGGCCACAACAGGGTATGCCACGGAAGGAGGTATTTTCACGCTTCAGCGGGAAGGAGAAACCATTGCCCCGGATCAGCCCTTCCCCACGAGACATGGTTATGGACTCAACATGAGGGTTGTTAGACCTTTCCTACAACCTGGATGGAACCCCCCGATACTCCCTGTGGTACCTGGTGCTGAAGGCCTGGGATTATTGCAAACCAAGTCTGCACTTTTGAAGTCTGCTACTTGCGTGTGCCTAACACATGGGCAGGTGGCTCACACCCATGGGCCGCAAGACATCAGTAGCTTCGAATCACCCGTACGTGAGGAGGTATCCAGCTCCCAGGTTATTTCACTTGCCGACAGTGTCACCAAGGTTGTCAGCATCGTTAAGGGATCCGATGCGCTTGACCTTCCATCATTTATTGAGGTACCCCTCTCAGCCTCAGAATCTGACATTGAAATCGAAATTGCCAGGTTTGGTTTTCACTGTTCTGCATATGCCTTTGGTCAGCACGACAAAGTTTTCTGCGTGCCACTTGGATGGCCTGCCTTGCAGACACAATATCATGTCCTCTTTGCCAATGAGGACACAAGCGATGCTTCTGGCTGTTTTGCCCATAGCTTCTCACAAGCTTGGACAGAAATCACGCTCATGAGAATTCTCCATTGTCTAGGGTATGAGAAAGCCTTCATCTCTAGCATCACTACCCGAGCCAACCGCTTGTCGATTGTTTGCTTTTCTGAATCGCATGGCGGCATTGCAGAATTTAAGAACAGTAGGCCGATCAAGCCCTGGCCACCCAGGCAACCGCAGTATGCCAGAAAACCTTTCACTGATCATTTCGAGAAGACTGACTCAGACTCTGTTGCGGTGGAATATTCAGCTTGAAGAGCTCCACAATTTCTTTCATCAACCACAGACCAGGCTCAGTGTCTCATTTGATGGTGTTTCGCTACCACCAGTGACCCAGGAGGCTTTGACAAACATCTCATTTGTTGGCACACTTGAAGACGTTGACCGGATCATTATATATGTGGACGGTTCATCACAGCCAAGTCAACGACACCTGCCTCCACTACAAGTTGACATGCAGGGCATCCCAGATGCCTGGGCCTTCATTGTGCTTGGTGAAAAGTATGATGACCAAGGCGATTCCATCCTTTCTCTCCTTGGGTGGTCGGCACATCAGGTGCGATATGATCCGGCCAGTCCGTTCTTTGCCGGAGCCACAAGAATCGGGCCACACATCGCTGAGAGAGAAGGCCTTTTCTTTGCTGCCCTATGGCGTGCTCAGCTCAATATCAACATTCCCACTGTATTTCGCAGCGACTCCAGTTTGGCAATCGGGCAAGCCTCTGGGCGTATCGGTGCAATTGAGATTGATCTCTCTTTCTCGTTACTCAGAGGTCTCTTCCAGTTCCTTGAAGCTGCTTTGGGCCCCGATTTGCTGCTGCTTGAGCACATCTATGGTCACAACAGTGATCCTTGGAATGAAGCGGTAGACGCCATTGCCAAGCAGGAAGCACAACAGAGCTTCTTTCTTCAGCGTCCTGACATTGACCTCCGACGATGGCATCAGGCGATTCCATTCTTGTGGATGCTCTTCGGTGACCATTGCGGATGCCCACAATTCTGCGGCGATGGCTTCAATGTATGTGCTCCCAGTTTGCCACCGGACGCCATTTGTGTGCCCGAGTCTCCGGCCTTCACAACCACCTCAAGCAAGTTTGATTTCAAGATTAGCTTTGCTTCTGCGAATGTATCCACGCTTGGTGTTGGCTCCAAAGGCCACACAGGCAAGCTGGACTACATCAAGGGCCAGTTTGTCAACTTTCACTTGAACTTCCTTGGGGTACAAGAAGCGCGTACCCAGGAGGGTACTATTATCAAAGATGACATTCTCAGATTGTGTGCTGGAGCCGATGGCAAACATCTTGGTGTAGAGCTTTGGTGCAATCTGAAACAACCGTTTGCCTTTGTCAACAACAAGCCAAGATTCCTTAGGGGCTCTGATTTTCAAGTGATTCACCGTGACCCTAGGAGGTTGCTTGTTCGCGTTCAACATGCAGCTTGGCAAACATACCTTCTTGTAGGCCATGCACCCCATAGTGGCACTGCTTTGGCTCAGAGGGCTACATGGTGGTCGGAGCTTCACCGCATCCTGCAAGCATGCCATCAAGATGTGCCTTTGGTTGCCATGATTGACGCCAATGCTGCTCCGGGTGACGGGGATCTCAGGCATGTTCTTGGAGCAGGCTTCGCTGAAACCTCTGGTACTCCATTCCTCAGACAGTTTCTGGAAACTTTCGGCCTTTTCCTGCCCTCAACAGGTCCTTTGCACACAGGTCCACGCCATACCTGGACCGCACCGGATGGAGTCAGCCAGCATTGCATTGATTATGTTGCAATTCCAAATTCTTGGCTCAGTCGATGCGTGTGGTCGCAGTGCCTCGAGGACTTCGACCTCAATGTGACACATGTAGATCACATTCCAGTTGGCCTTGAAGTGGGTTGGTCTGACCTCATTCTGTGCTCCCATGACACAAAGAGTGACTCAGGATCGAAGTTTGACAGAAATGCCATCGGCAGCGTTGATCTTGCACCTTTTCTCTCCCAGTCCCATGACATTTCATGGAACACTGATATTGAATCGCATGTTGATGCACTCAATGCTTCTTTCACTGGCGTCTTACAGCAGTATTGTCCCAAGCCACAACGGTCTCCCAAAAAGCCGTTTATTGATGACAGGTGTTGGGCCTTGAGGACTTGCAAATTGCGCCAGAGACGAATTGTCCGTCGGACATTAAATTGCATTGGCCGAGAATCCCTCCATAGAAGTTTCTTTGCGTGGCGATCCTTGAAATCATCTTGCAAGCCCTCTAGTGACCCGCTTTTGGATCTCTCCTTCAATTATGGTACCACACTGCGTTGCGGAGGTCTTCGTGCCATTGCACAACTATGGAACACCTGCCGTGCGTTGAAAAAGCAACTGCAATTGGCCAAGAAGCAGTGCCTTGCTGATCGCATCAAGGAGTCGAGCTCGCTCACATCCGCATCAGATATACTGCGCATCCTTCGGCCTTTTGTAGGATCATCCAATGCCAAGAACAAAGGACCCCGTCCATTACCACTTGTCTGTGATGACAATGGTCTCCCGTGTGCATCATCCTCAGCTGCACTGAACCGGTGGATTGACTTTTTCATGGCTATGGAAGGTGGTTCTCGCCTTGATACCCATGAGCAGAGGCGTCTTTGGATCCAAGGCTTGAAAGAACACACTGCAAATCACCTTGATGTGAATGTTGCTGAGATTCCATCCCTTGTTGAGCTTGAAGCGGCTTTTAGGAGAGTCAAAAAAGGCAAGGCCTCTGGACCAGACCAGTTGCCGTCTGAGCTTTTTCATCAGTACCCTGCTGTCCTCGCGCGGCATTGTTACTCGGTCCTTTTGAAAGTCGCTCTACAAGGCCAAGAATGTTTGATTCACAAGGGCGGCACCCTCGTACCGCTTTGGAAGGGGAAGGGTGACCAAAGCATTTGTTCCTCCTTCCGCAGTATACTATTGAGCTCACATTTCGGCAAATCACTTCATCGCGCCCTGCGATTGAAGCAAGCAGATGTATACGAAGCGTACATCCATGCTCAACAGCTAGGAGGGAGACGCAAAACACCAGTCACTTTGGGCGCCCATCAAGCCAGAGCATTCCTGCGCTATCACAAGCAGCAGGGACGACCAACAGCGCTCCTGTTCCTTGATTTAACGGAAGCCTTCTATAGGGTTGTCCGACCATTGGCGCTGTCGGGATCCCTGAATGATGAGGTCCTTGCTGCCATGGCATGCAGATTGCAGTTGGATGCCAATGTGATCAGGGAGCTCCATGGACTTCTGAGACAGCCTGGTGCTATTGAACATGCACAGCTCCCTGAACATGCCCAACGAGCCATTAGAGCTATCCACTGTGATACGCATTTTTCTCTCAGAGGCCAGACTGACTGTTGCCGCACCACACTTGGCTCTAGACCAGGTGATGCGTATGCTGATGTAGTGTTCGGGTACCTGTGGGCCCGTGTGTTACACAGTTTGCAAGATCAGCTTGTAGCTCTTGGCCTTTGTGAAACTGTGCCTGACGAATCTGGGCCTTCCTGGTTTGACACTGGGGACGACAGGCAGACGCAGCATATTCCCTTCATCGGGCCTTGCTGGTGCGATGACCTCTGTGTATGTGTAAGTAGCCATTCCCTTGAGTCTCTCCAGACCAAGATTGCCACGACCTCCAGTTTGCTCTTGGACCTTTGTCGTGTTCATGGCATGACACCTAATTTGCAGAAGGGCAAGACAGAGCTTATGTTTTCTGCAAGGGGGCCTGGCCAGAGAGCATTTCGCCAACGATGGTTTGGACCGGAGAGCAATGGAACTTTTCCTGTCTTGGGCGAATCCAACGTTTATCACCTTCCTCTTGTTGGACATTATCGCCACCTTGGAGGTTTTCTGCACCATAGTGGTGACATGAAGCTTGAGGTGAGACGGAGACTTGCGATAGCACATCAGACATTCTCACAGCACCGCAAACTCCTGTTTCAAAACCTGGCCATTCCTCTCGCACGGAGAGTTGAAATTTTTCGGTGTTTGGTTCTGAGCAAACTCCTATATGCCACCGATTCTTGGGTCCTGCAAGATCAGAAAACCAAAAATCTTGTTCATGCAGCCATTATACGGTTGTACAAGAGGTTGCTGAAGCTCCCTGCAGATGCTAGGGTCACTGATGAATGGGTGCTTGTGCACACGGGCTTGCCGAGCCCCACAGTGTTACTTCGAGTCAGCCGTTTACGCTATTTGCGTACGCTTTTTGCAGTTGGAGCCACGGCCCATTGGGGAGTCCTGAATCTTGATGCTCCTTGGAATCAACTTATTGAAGCGGATCTCCTTTGGATGTACCACCAGCTATGGAACTCGAGTTCCTTGAAAGATCCAAGGTCTCATCTCTCACAATGGTTGGATCTGCTTATTTGGCATCCGGGTTATTGGAAGAGACTTGTCTCCCGTGCCATGAAACACGATGTTGCACAGACTGCAAAGGTCTTCCATGTCAGACATGCACATCAGAGCATTTTTGACTTGATGAGAGAGCGCGGTTTTCATGTTCCATGCCTCACAACGTGCAAACCGCTGGGTGAGAGTGTGTTTGGGTGTATGTGTTGCAAAATTCCGTGCAGAAGCAAGGCAGGTGAAGGAGCGCACATGTTTAGAGCCCATGGCATCACCAACCCTACCAGAAGCTTGTTTCAGGAGACGCAGTGTGCAATTTGCCTGAAGGAGTACCACTCTTTCGGTCGATTGAAGCACCATTTGATTCGCAGTGATGCCTGCCGCCAACAATGGCATGCTTTGAAATCATTTAAAGCTCCGCTACCAGGTATTGGCTCGACTGTTGATGAAAACCGTAATGCATTGACAGATCGTTTGGTCCCTCCAATGCAAGCGGCTGGACCTCAGCGCGACTTCCAAAGGCGAAGTGATTTTTCTTTAGTTGATGAGGAACTATATGAAAACATTGCTTTGGACATTCTACATGCAACTGACTGTGATGCTCTGTTAGCGCAGATTCGTAGTCGTGTCCTAGCCGCCACTATCTCATGGACGACATGTTCAGCCACTTTGGAGGAGCTTCATCTCAACCTTGAATTGGATGGGCAAGACCTTGGTGATATCCCATTGCAGACTGTGCTTCACCTTGTCAGGCAGCTTCAGTCTGTTGACGCGTGGCCTTTTCTATCCACCGATGTATACCAGACTGCCGAGCACTTCCAAGACTTGGCACACATTGAAGGGGCCTGCAGTGAAGTCCGCTGGCCAGAGGAAGCTTTCCCTGTCCCGAGGCTTTGGGGCAAACATCGAATTGTCCTCCACGCCTTTGCAGGCAGGCGCCGGCCTGGAGACTTTCAGTTCTACCTTGACCGCCTCCTTTCAGCGTGTGAAGATGGCATCTATATCCACGCAGTCTCCATGGACATCATCTATGACGCCACGCTTGGAGATGCTTCGCTGAAATCCACTCAGGAGTTTTGGTTTTGGGGTATTGATAAGCGTTGGGTTGTGGGATTCCTTGGTGGTCCGCCGTGTGAAAGTTGGAGCATTGCGCGTGGAGCTCTACTTCCAGATCATGCCGAACGAGCAGGCCCCCGAGTCATTCGCACTGTGCAAGAACTCTGGGGACTTGAGGCTCTTGGTCTCAAAGAGCTGAGGCAGATTGCCTTGGGCAATGATCTGCTCTTGTTCTCTCTTACGTGCATCTATCGTTTGGCATTGGGTGGCGGCTTTGCAGTGCTTGAGCATCCTGCGGAACCTGAACAAGCAGACGCAGCTTCCATATGGCGCTTGCAAATCACCATCCTGCTCACGCACTTTCCAGGTGTCGAAGTCTTAAGATCTCGCAAGGCCACTTTGGTGCACGGACCCCAAAGCCCACCAACCTTCTGAGTCTTAATTTGCCCGGCTTGAAGGAAGAGTTGAACCAGCATTCTGTTTGTGACAACTTACCCAAGCGGGCAGCGATTGGCCGTCAACATGACGGTAGCTGGGCTACTTCACAATTGAAGGAGTATCCCCCGGCACTTTGCTTTGCACTTGCATCCTGTTTTTTTCATCACATTGTCAAGGTCCCAGTGGCTGCCCGCACAGAACCTGCAGACCACTTTTTGGACTTGTGTCAGAGCTTGCTTGTACAATCCTTCTCTGAGCACATTGGAAGGGACTTTGCGGGATGAACAGGTTTGCTACATCTTAGAATTTACCAGCTAGGCCGCAGCGACAGCTACATCTTGCCTTGGGGTAAAAAAAATACACATATGTGTGTGTGTGTGTCATCTATCTGTATCCGTCTATCTGTATCTATTTATTGCATCCATCGAACTGTATCTATACGTATTTGTCAATCTACATCTATCAATCTGTATCTATGTATATGTATCTGACTCCATTGAGATGTATCGATCTATATGTACCAATATGCATCTATATGTATCAATATGCATCAAAATGTATCGATGTACTTGTTGTGTCTATCAGTACCCCTATATATATGTATCAATATGTATCTACATGTATCTATACGTATCTTCATGTATCTACATGTATCTATATGTTTCTATATGTATCTATATGTATCTATATGTCTCTATATGTGTCTATATGTATCTACGTGTATCTATATGTATCTATTTGTATATATATATATATAAATGTATTTATCTGTGTCTCTATATATGTGTGTCTATTTTTCTGCATCTATCTACAGTATCTGTATCGGTTTATCTATATTGATTTATCTGTATTATTCTCTATCTATCTGTATCTACCTGCATCTGTCTGTATTGTTTACATGTATCTATTTGTATCTCTAAATGTGTATCCACCTATCAATCTATTAATATTTCCTTCTATCTATTTGTATCTATCTATGTTTCTATTTATCAGTATCTTTCTGTATGTTTCTTTTTTTTCTGTATCTCTCCATATGTGTCTATTTATATGTATCAGATGTATATATATATATTACATACATATCTATCTATTTTCGTCTGTCTATCTGTCTATCTGTCTATCTAGCTCTCTATCTATCCATCTACATATCTAATAATCTTGTGCCGTTGTCTTTTACTATGCATTTATGATCATTTATGTATCTATTGTAGCTTCTTTTAATGCATTCTTGTAATGACGCGCTCGTTCCGCCGCGCCATGCAAACGCCTGGTTCCCGTTCCCTTTGGTCCCCTGGGCCGCAACTGGCAGTGTTTTGGATGCTTGCCTACAACGTATACCAGAGGGGGAAAAATGAATTGGACTTTGTTGTGTAGGTCTTGGAGGTAAAAAGTATTTAAACAGTATTTTCGGATGGAAGTTCAATGATATTTACCACGGTGATTCCCAGGGTTTTCAACTTTTCTATGTACCTTGGGATGCCAAAAATCTGGGCGGGGGGGGATGTTGACCAGCTATCATCCGGACTTTTGGATTTTTAGGGACTGCAACAACTGCCAGTGCCAACAACTTCTGCAGCAGTCATCTGAGATGATATACTGTACTGTACACTAATAGAGAATATGCGAATGATCTAATTATGGATCCTGAAAAAAGCAAGTCCATAAAATTGTATCTAGAATATCTATATCTAAAGATGCCGATTTTGACATATACGAACTTGTATTTTAGACTACCTCTGTGAAGGTTTTTCTTGGCCAACCCGGCCGTTTAAACATACGGAATCCAACTTATATTATAAATAAATTAAACATACGGATACAACTGGTGTTTCATACTACCTCCGAAACAAAAAATGCTGGTATATAAGCATAGGTTCTCGCATATCACAAGAACATACAGCACCAACTGACAAAAATGGTTCATGGTTGCCCCAGAAACAGAAACATGAATCGGCGAGGAAAAAAACGATAGTAAATTCCGAAACTATAATTTGGATACAGCAAGCTGCTCTTGTAGTGTTTGAAACCATCGCAACTGGCTGTGACTCACAAATGGCGAACAAAATGTACCGAACATACACTGGCTCAAGGCTCGACCATACAACATTCAGGTGTTTATTCTACAAATGATTCTAAATGTGGATTCCACTCTATATCAATGTAGCACCACAAGACTACAAACATAGCATGGAAGATCGATATAGGAATTGTCTATTCAAGACAACACTATATCAATTGTCTATTCAAGCGACGCAAGCCCAAGGCTCGGCTTAGAGCTTCTCGAGATGTCGAGGGGAATCTGACCAAAAGCATGGAAGAAACGATAAGAACCGGCATGAACCAAACATGTCCCCCAGAAATCTTCCTTTACACCTTTGGTCTTCACTCTTCTCTTAGGCTTCCCAGAAAACTGCCACAATTTTAGGCGCAACACTGGCGTCATGCCACCGACCACTCTTCGAGTAGGTCATTCGACGACACGCAACCAGTGAGTCGCTCGGCGATGCAAATCGCATGTGAGGCCCCTGGCAGGCAGCGCTGAGATCAAGATCTATGCGCTATGGCAGCGCCATCCAAGTCTGTGAATATCCAAGAAGCACACAAAATAAGAGATTCACACATATCGATATATATATATATATACATAATCATCTATATGTATATATATATATATTGACATGATTAGTCTTATATTATCTTCTATTTATATGGATGTTTTAAGGGTATACATATTCGTCTACATTATTCCATCCGCTGATGGTGCACTGCCCCGCCCATGGGCGGAAAACAAGGTCACCTGGTGCATGCGGAAGTTGCAGCAACTCATGTCTCTGCAGGATTGACGCCGAAACATGGACATTGCTGGGCGATGCGATGCGCCAATCTGTTCCCATGAGAAGCAAAACAGATGAATTTTTAAGCCGCGAACATATGCTCGAGGTGTATGGTACCTATACCATCCTATACCTATACTGCTCATCTACATTAAGCGCATTAAGGGTAATTTGAGCAGCCTGACCTTCAGAAAAGGTCGAACATAAATCTACCAAAAGCCACAGGTTTTAGCCTGCCAAGGCTGTTGGATCCATCTTTTTTTCCAGGCACTGCCATGATGAAATCATGATTGAGATTAATGCTGACTGACATATGCTGACGACAAAATTATCTACGACCCCTGTTCACCCAAGTCTTTGGGATATGGGATATGAATGGATATGACTATGGCTCAAAATCATTGACTTGAGAAATAGTACCAACTGCCAGGCCGCGTCAGGGTCGTGCATGTTGACTTTAACCCTGGACCTCATCTTGCAATGATTTCAAGTGGGCTCAGCAATAGGAGCTCCTACCAGCAAGAAGTGGAACTTATAACCGGATTGAACAGGTTTTAAGAACAATCCAGTAAATATGGCAGTTCAGTGATGTATTAAAATCCATTATATAATTGATAATATTGATACTTTAAAACTTGCAGGGACCACCCACCCAAACAAAACAACTTGACCAATTCAAAATTCACTGGAGACTGAGACACCCCTACAATCGCCTCAGCCCCCGCATGCGTCTGTCCAGAAAACCTTGCAGCTTCGTAGAAGCTGGTGTGAAATTTCAAAAACGACCACTGCGCACCTCTGCAGAAAATCCGGTCAACTTGATTCAACTTGTATATTATGTTGTATGCATACGTCACCATACCTCTATCAAAAACGGATGTTAAGACGGATGAACAGTGCAATTTTGAAAACAATCCGTCCAAATGAGACAGTCAAAACCAGAATTAAACGGTAGACCACAGATCTCTGGATGTTTTCTATATTGATCCAACGTCCGATATATTGCATGTGAACTTATCTTTGAACGGTGCAGACCTTTTCCAGAGGTACAGTATCCGATGTGTCAGCAAACATCGAACACACGCGCGAACAACCATGGTTGCAGCCGTTGCACGGCTATTGGACCATCCATCATCTGGTACGTTTTTATATGACATTGCTCCAAAGCGATTTGATAAGCTAGAGTAGTTGGGATACACCTCACTATAATAACTATATAATCATAGAGTATACACCTAGTTTTGGGATGATATACTAACTATAAAGTGGATATACAGTAGTTATAACATCCCATAATACTGTATATCCACTTGAATAACGTCTCACTGGAACTGCGCCTCAGACTCTGCGATTCCGTGTGCCCAGAGGCCCAGAGGTGATCAACGGAGCTCAAAACATGGAGTGGGCACCCATTGACCAATTTCTGGTTGTATTGTTTCTAGTAAAGCACGCAAATTGCGGAAATTTTCAGGAATTAAATGCATGTTGATCCCATCAGCAGAATATCACAGAAAAACGAATGAGGGACCCCAACAGGAATAGATCCATTATTATATAATATTATATATATATATATAAATTATAGACCAAAAAAAATAGAAGGGAATGGCAATTTTTGGGGAAACAACTAGGAACCCAAAACCTTTCTTTGCCGCACTGATATCAATAGAAATGGCCCATGATGGCCCATGGCTCACGGCAACAACCACAACGCACGGCACAACTTTGAGCCCAAACCTAGTCGTGGACATACGAAAACCCCACGACGGCGAGCACATGAAATAAACAAGTCAGCGTGTTTTTGTCACGTTTGTCACGTCAATAGCATTGAAAATCAGGATGCCACAACATTGCCATTTCACTAAGGAACATTGCTATAAATCATTGAATTTAGAGGTTCCCAACTTTGAGGACGAAGCAATGTAAATCTTCTATGTATATATAGACTGTATATGTATATTTATATACATATACAGTATATATATATATATATGTATATAATTATATATATATATATATGTATACATGTATATGTAAATACATGTATATGTAAATACATGTATATGTAAATACATGTATATGTAAATACATGTATATGTAAATACATGTATATGTAAATACATGTCTATGTAAATACATGTCTATGTAAATACATGTATACATATATGTATATATATATAATTATATATATAATTATATATATATATGTAAATAATTATATTTATATATATATATCACAATATATAACTACAGGGATGTCTCGCATATGTAACTGGCTTGTGAAATGCAATTCTTGCCCACTTGGACAGTGGGATGCACTGTTCAGCACACCTGTTTCCGAGTGCTGCATTGGTCAAATGCGATGATCATCCAAAATAATTAGGCACGATATCAAATATAATTATATATATATTTCACACATATATGTATATATATATATGAAACCACCAGCCGGATAATCACTATTTATATCTATCTGAATCTATATACACATTCTGTCTTATGTAATTAAGATGGTTTTTTATCATGTCATACTCCCAATAGTTTGTTGGTCAAATAATATGTCTACTTCATTGGTAAAACGCACCCGTTTTGACACCTGGTCACCTGATCAACGCGCTGACTTTGACAGAGCAAGCAGGCCCTGAAAGGGGTGTTTTCGCTGACCTCAGAGACAAACCCATGAATAAACCTACCATTTAACAGGATGGTTCCCTAAATTAAGAAATCATGGTGGGACATGATTTTAATTTAGGGAACCATCATTTTAAATCATTTCGTCTTGAAATGGGGGGTTTCCTAAGTCATGGGGGTCGGGTGCACCCTTAAATCCATTGAGGCAGCCATGGTGACGACTGGGAATCCCCCACTTTAAGAAATCTCCATATTAAACATCGGATACCTTATGGAAATTGCTAAATCATCTATACGAATGAATCATGTTCTATAGCTATTTATAGCTATAGGCTATAGCTATAGCTATGTATGTTAAATGACCGGATGGGTAAATCAATGCACTTCTTTGGGAAACTAGTGATTCAACATCCTCAAGGCTTTTTTTTGGGTCCTACTGTAGCCGTCTGCCAAATCATTGGTGAGTAACTCCCCAATCTCCCTGCTGACCTGATGGGAAAACCTCATCCTGGAGCCCCGGTTTCACCATGAGCAGTTTCAAGTCGTTTCTGTCTATGCCAAAGCCAATCTATTCCCAGGTTTACCCTCTGGTAAACTAACATAACTATGGAAAATCACCATTTTTAATGGGAAAATCCACTATAAATAGCCATTTTCAAAAGCTATTTTGACATAACCAGAGGGTACGCCCATTGACCCATTGACCCATTGGGATTGGCCAAAAGGGCATATGTTCATCGAGACACGGGCGGTTCACGCCGTGCTCTTCTTTTTTTCATCTTCACGAGACCTCAGACCGCCAGACGTTGCGGTTGATGCGAAGAAAAAATCAAAGCTTGTGCTAAGTGCAGATTTTCACCTACACATCGATAGCCAATACATAATGATATAGATAGACATATATACACAGAAAAAACAATTTGAACAGTATATATAATATATATATATACATACATATACATATAATATATATATAATAATAATATATATATAATTTGCATAATAATAATATGGGCATGGCTCAAAATTGAGCTTGCCGAAATGGAGGGTTTATCCCTTCCTGGTGCGGTTTGTGCCTCTGTGTCTTGGACCGAGCTTTGGACCATTGGATGGGCTGAATACCGAGCAGGTATCCTGTGAATGCAGAATAAATCAGCTAGTATATGCTAGTAACATGCTAGTATCATATCACAAGACGCATCAAAACATATCAACTCAGAAACCTTAGAAAATCTATGAACATCCCTCATATTCTCAAGTGTTCCATCCATTTGGATCCCCAAAAATCCGCGATCTTTTTCCCCCCCGAACTCCCCCAAGTTGAGTTTCCGCACTTGGCGCTCATGGAGCCTACGGCCATCACGGCTTTGCCTGCGGCCTTAAGGCTTGTCTTCTTTGAGGTATCAGCCTACCAAGCTGCGTGGTTTTTCGCGGAATGGAAGCTTTTGAGGAGATCTGGAGAATCTGGAAATATGGTCATATTTTAACATAATATATGTACTATATAATATATGATATATGTACTTTGAATATGTGTATATATATATATACAAATTAATCAATTTAATAGATCAAGGTTGGGCCATCATGTGTGGGGTGACTGGTCGGTCAGCGGCTGACATCTCTCTTCCAGAGAAACAACATGTTTTTGCCAAACAACAAATATTAGGTCTTGTGATTTTTCCGTTGGGATTTATAGATTGTTTTGTGGAATGAAGAGTAGCAGCGTAGCATCTGCCTACCTGGAATTGATCCATTCCATGTTGAATTATCATTGGAGGTTTATTTGTAGAATCGATATGAATCAATTATATATAATCATTGGAGATACTGACCTCATTTGGGCACCACATTTGGGCTACCCAGAAATGGATGCGACAAAAATATGCCATGTTAGCTGGAATATCATCATTCCATATCTGGGGCAAACATATCCTAGCCCAGTATTCTTGGGTTTACCCCATCATATGCCCCATATATATATACATATATATATACATATATATATATACATATATATACATAAATATATATATATATATATACATATTTACATACATATATACATAACACACACATATATATATATATATACACCCAATGTTTGTTTTAACTGTTGAAATGATTAAGACCATCATATCACCATGATGTACCGTAATTCACTGCCGATTCATATCCATGTGTATATATATATATATACACACGTATATAGTACTACTGAACTAACTGGATAGAATATGGCATTTCAAGCATATTCCCATTTAAATGAGGGGTCATTCAGATTTACGGATTCAATCTATCTTCTCAAGAATGACTATATATATATATATATATATCACCCTAGTCATAGATAGACTATCCGGCACACATCGTCAAACTACAATCCTGGAAATAATGTAAAAGGCATCTTTTTTGGCAGTTCCCAAAGTACTGTACAAGATGAGGCCCCTCAACAATGCCCCCTAAGTATTGTTAAGGTGAAGTAAAACTTGGTTAACGTGGAAAATAACAACATCGGGAGATACAACGTTCACATCATGTTTGTTTGGGGGCCTCACCAGCCTCACCTCGTAGAGAAGAGTATTGTTAGATTTATGAATCAGTTCCCCATAATTATGATATTCTCCTAATACATATCTATATATATATATATATGGGTTTGTCTGAAACTAGGGTGTCCCAAAATCCATTGGTTGATCATTAATTTGTTCAAACTCGCCCAACAAAACAAAAGTCACCGAATGTCACCGATAGGTCCAAAATGGGCCCAGGATTTTCCATGTTTTTTTCCCTCGTGTAATCAGGGGGTTGAAGCAAAATTAACCAGAGTTGTCCCATAGTTTTTCTTTTTTTTAGTAATTCATTGACATTCCCATATAATTGTATATATATATATATATATATTTATATCATATTATATATATATATTATATTCTATATTATATATTATATATTATATATTATATATTATATATTATATTAGATATATAATATTATATTAATATTCTATATTATATTTTATATATTATATATGATATATTTTTATTATATATATTTATTATATATATATAATTATATTATATATATTATATTATATATTATGTATTATATATTATATATTATATAGTATACATTATATATTATATATTATATTATATATATAATATTATATTAATATACTATATTATATATTATATATTATTTATATTTATTATATATATTTATTATATATATATATATTAAATTATATTATATATATATTATATTATATATTATCATATATTACTGTATAATATATTATTATATATTATTATTTATTATTATATATATTATATTATTATGTATTATTATTTATTATTATATATATTATATTATTATATATTATTATATATTATTACAAATTATTCAATATTAAATATAACATATATGCTATATATATATATACATTATCTGATTCTATATATATCATACATGTTCTAGATAATAGTACATATTATCATTATATAGTCATGTTATCATTTGTGTTGATCATGACCAGATCATGCCCGCCTGTGGCGAGATCGGACCGTCCTCACCCAGGAGGTCCATCCTGCGGCTGCGCCAGGAGAACTGCGCTGGTTATGCCTGGCTTAATGGTTACTGGTTTAATGTTTAATAAATGGATATTACTAATGCTTATTTTCCTGGATCATGACTAATAATGGTTATTACAGTAATTAATTGCTTTTAATTGCCATTAATGGTTATTAATACTTAGATTGAACCTTATTACTGGCTTATGGGTTATGAATTGCTTGTTAATGGCTATTATTGTTATGTGAACCATGAAATTATGATTAATGCCTTAATGATTAATAAATGGTGGTCATGAACAATTAAATGTTAATGTTTATGGCTCAATGGCTAATGACTATGGCTTAATGGCTAATAAAATAATTCATGGCGTATTAATGGTTAATAAAATGTGAATGGTTATGAACAATATTATTTTCAATGATTAATGGTGGTTCTCATGGTGATTTAACCATCAGATGCCAATAGATGCTGGTTCTCACGGCGATATAATGAACATTTATCAAAAGATGATGGATTTACCCCATAGAAATTTAACACGGCTATGGAAAATTGCAAATTTCTAGACGATTTCCCTACAACAATTCGTGATTTTCCATAGTTATGTTCAATTACCAAAGGGTCATCCACAGAATTCTGTGGCTTTAAATGACAGAGTTCCCTCAGAACTGATCCTTGGATGATAACTGATCCTTGGATACCCTATATACCCTATTATGTTAGGACACCTCCATTCAGAGATCAATCCTGCTGCGCTTCAACGCTCGTTCCAGGACCTGGACAGCCGGGCCAAATGGAAAAATATTGACACAGCAGCTCAGCCACAAAGCTGCCCCCAACATCATAAAAGATTTCTCTATGCCTATGCTGACTCATCCAATCAGTCGAAGCGATCATCTATATATATATGATATATATATATATATATATAAAATATGATGTATAAATATATATATATATCATATATGGTATATACATATATAATATATAGTATATGATACGTATATATGTATATATGATATATATGGTATGTATGATGTGTAAGTATATATATATATAGATATGCTATATATATATACAGTATATATGTTGTGTATATATGCATATATATATATACAGTGATATACATATATATATATATATATATTTACTATAAATATACATATATATGATGTGTACAAATATATATATATATATGAAATAAACATATATGGTATATATATATGGTATATATTTATATTTGATATATATATATATACTATATATATGATGTATATATATATATATGATATATAAATATGGTGTATATATATATATGATATATATAAATATATATTAGATGACATATATATATCATATATATTAGATGATATGTATGTATATATATATGGTATATATATAATATTTAATGTCTATGTTATGAATTGTTATGAATGAAGGATGACCGAAAGCGGCGGCTTCGGTTGCATCACCAGGTCATTGAGCCACGCAGCATGGCGCAGCTAGGCGCTACAGCAATCTAGAACATATGGGAATTAGTGAAATACTGCAGAATAATGGGATTTTATAGTGGTTTAATGGGATTTATAGTGATTCAATGGGATATTAATGGGATATACCCTCAGGTAATGACTAACATAGCTATTGAAAATGGTGATTTATAGTGAGTTTTCCCATTGATAGCATGGTGATTTTCCATAGCTATGTTAGTTTACCAGAGGGTAACAACAAATAACCTATTATAACCTATTATTATTAGACATTTTTAGGGTGACTTTCCAGTGATTACTTAAGCAAGACCTAAATTGTCAGCCAACCATCTGTCAAAAGTAAGTCACAGACCGCATGATAAGGTCCCAGATCCCAAATGATCCTCTCATCTGCCTCGAATTTGATTAACTTTTTGAACGTCTTGCAAGCACATTCAATGAGAATTTCAGTACCCTAAATGGAGGTACTGTATCATATAAAGCCATATTTTGGGAGTATCCCCTCATCCCTTCCTTAAATATGGTAGGTACCTACAATGTAGGTTCCTGAAATGGCTGCTGAAATCACCTCAGAAGCATTACGTACAACATTAAATACAAACAAATTGTCTATGTTCCCAAAGAACTACCTTGTGCGCACGCCACAACTATGAACCACCCTGTTTTGGCTGCGCTATACAAACAAATCCAGGGCCCTGACCGCGTCATAGATGGGGAATTTTCTCTCCTTGGAACCCCCCGGAACGTTCCGTGCGGATCACATGCCGTTTATGGTAGATAAAACTATAGATAACTACGTATAGTTAATGGGGTTTATAAAACAACTAACAAAACTGGACGGCACCATCCTGTAGTACTTCGAACATGTTCAATGTGCTCGCATCATTTTGTATCAACAAAAAAATCATCAGCCAATTATCGAGTATACAATGCCGGTTCCAGGCAAATGGCCAAGGCCGTTATGTAAAAACCATGTCGAAAGCATGTAACCCATGGGACTCTGAAAAAAACATGGGTCATTTCAAAGGAACATCTGCATCATTGATAGGCTGCTAGGTGAGCCAGGTGAACTTTTTACCCATTTCGCCTAGCAACGGACCCCAATCATTTGATCAATTTGAGTGGCCTTCTATCAGTTTGATTTGCTGCGGGATATGGTGCGGAATTAACGGCTTTGGCTTGAGCCGCTGGCCAATCAAAGGCTGAGTTGAATATCACATCTCGTAGTCATGTCCTTCACAATATCTTTGAACATGAGCAAATCATATCAAAAGAAATCAATGTTGCGAATGAACAAGTATGTAGACCCGCACATACTCATGAAAAATTATTCTATCTACCATCATTCTACATCCATATATATATAACCAAAATATATCAAAACATAGCTACACCCGGTGTACTTGAAGCAAATTGCCAAGTTCCAAAAAACGGGGCCAAACCCAGAACGAGGTTCCCCTGCTGCCCTGGTCCAGTCCAAGAGACATCCACTCGCTTTTGGTACCCAAAATCCTCAAACTTGTCCAAGGCATTCATGAGCTGGCGGAAGGCGCGGCGTGATCGACGAGCAGGACAAGCTGATGTGAGGCTCGGGGCACCAACAAACCAACAAAAGGATATAAAAACTTCGAGTTGTGTTCAATATATGTCAATATCTCACCGTATCACACTATAAAATACATATAAATACAAGAATCAATCAGAATCAATGAATCAATTCATTTCGATCCAAAGCAAACAGAGTTTCACTCATGATCTGCTTCGAGATCCGGTGACATCTGATGCCATCTGCCATGGGCCATTGCGGTTTTGTGCAGGGGCAACTTGGGGATGATCAACATTGATCACCAATTTACCTCCAGTAAATTAACATAGACCCTGGCAGTCATCGGGGTTGGAAGATTAGTTTCCACTCAAAATTGGCTAGTTTCAGGATCAACAAGTTAATTTACCAGAGGGTAATGTGAACAACCCTGATAACCCTAAAATTCGTATATAGGTCATTATACAATGCTGCTAAACGTTTAAATCCAATGCCATAAACCATCCCCAAATTCACCATTTGTGTGTGTTGTATAAACCATGCCCCAACAGGTAGGTTTATGGCATTGGGCTTACCACATTAAATGATCATAAATGCTGATGTAACATGATGTACTGTAACTATACTCCACCCCCTTTGTTTCTGTAACCGCGAAATTCATGATCTTTCAAGGTGGATGTGGGTCGGAGTCTCTTCAGCATGTTCCATTCAATAAATAAATAATATATATATATATATGACACATATATACAATCCCGATGAACAAATGAATAACATTTTTTCTACCAAAATGTTTCACAGTCCATCTGTCGATGCATATACATATATATATATATAACTATGTATATATATATAACTATGTATATATATATATATATATAACTCTATATATATATACATATGTGTGTGTGGTGTTTTCTTGAATACAAACTACTAAACCTCACCGACTCATTAAAACTGGCGGTGTCATATCACAGTTTCCCCAATTTCTGCGGTGAACTGGGGACCAACCAGAGAGAATATGACCCTAAATCCACTGATTGTTCAACCTTTTCTCCACTAACCCTGTTATTGGGATTCTACATATACCCTATTTTCAAACACATCCACATCACATTGTTGGTGATGTGTATGGTACAGTATATATATATATATATATATACATAGAGGGGTTTCCATAAATGGGGGTAATTACCCCAATAGCTGGATGGTTTATTCCATGGAAATTCCTATACTATAAAATGGATGATTTACGGGGTACCCCTATGGATTGGAAACTTCCATATCCCCCATGTTATCCCCCATGTTACCCCATTCCGTGGCCATGGTCTCGGTTGAATGCCGAGGTCCCTGACGCCCGAATGCCAACGTCGCCCCGTGAACTTTGCGAGGTTGAAGAGAGCCCAGTTGGGCAATAAGAAGGACCTCTGGAGGGTGCCCCACGGTGCCCGCCGGTCAAATGGTCAAAACATGGCGAAGATCTTTAGATAGCTTTAGATGTTTTGAATATGATGGGCATAATCCGGGAGACACAGTAGTATATGAATATGAATATATATATATATATTGGTGTATGGTGGTATGAGAATATGATTGAGAATTGAGTCTTTGGATGTCGGGATCGTTGGTATCATGAGATCAACAATGGCATCGTTGGTATCTTGACAGAAACCAGGCTAGGTATGGCTATGATTCAGTTAGATTTCATCATCCCGAATCCCCTTACTGGGGGGCCATAGTAAATGGCACAAGAACAAAGCAGATCTTCGGGATGGTTTATTATTGTTATATAATGTTATATATGTTTTATCACTTTGGCTCCACTATCTACAAAAAAAATACTTTACTTCGTGTGATCCCCACCGTGACATTTTTACATTTTCTTACTGGCAAATCTTCTGGCATTCTATCTGACATATCTTCTGGCATTCTATCTGGCAAATCTTCTGGCATTCTATCTGGCATATCTTCTGGCATTCTATCTGACATATCTTCTGGCATTCTATTGGCATATCTTCTGGCATATATTCTGACATATCTTCTGGCATTCTATCTGGCATATCTTCTGGTATATCTTCTGGCATATCTTCTGGCATATCTTCTGGCATCTATCTGGCATATCTTCTGGCATATCTTCTGGCATATTATCTGGCAAATCTTCTGGGATTCTATCTGGCATATCTTCTGGCATATGTTCTGGCATATCTTCTGGCATTCTATCTGGCATATCTTCTGGCATATTATCTGGCAAATCTTCTGGGATTCTATCTGGCATATCTTGTGTCATTCTATCTGACATTTTATCTGGCATACCTTCTGGCATTCTATCTGGCATATCTCATGGCATTTTATCTGGCATATCTTCTGGCATTCTATCTGACATTCCATATGGCATATCTTCTGGCATTCTATCTGGCATATCTCATGAGGTCCGGCAGGGAACACTTGGCGTGGATACTCGCGGTTGAGGTCCGGCAGGGAACACTGGGCGTGGATGGTCGTGGTTGAGGTCCGGCAGGGAACACTGGGCGGGGATGGTCGTGGTTGAGGCCCGGCAGGGAACACTGGGCGTGGATGGTCGTGGTTGAGGTCCGGCAGGGAACACTGGGCGGGGATGGTCGTGGTTGAGGTCCGGCAGGGAACACTGGGCGTGGATGGTCGTGGTTGAAGTCCGGCAGGGAGCAGGAGGAGAGGAGACGAGGAGAGGAGACGAGGAGAGGAGAGGAGAAGAGAGGAGAGGAGGAGGAGGAGAAGGAGGAGGACGAGGAGGAGGAGGAGGAGGACGAGGAGGAAGCAACTGACATAAAATCTAACAACCCTCACCTGGCAGGTGGGGAAAAACTACAGCTGTGGATGGAATCCAGATGGAACATCAAAAGTTTACATGACCTGAGACCTGTTTACATGACATCTGCCCCCGGAACCCATCATGACATATACTTTTTTCAAGTTGATTGTGCTGAACCTCATCATGACAACATCTGTCTCAACATGTGAACAAGTGTCAAGTTCCTTCATGGTCATACGGGTTCATATTATATGTATGTTAAACATAGATCCGAGATGTAACTTCAAATGTGCAAAGGCTATGCATTTCCACATGAGTCTGTCTGAAAAGTAGCACCATTTTCAGACATACCCATATCAGATTTATGGTTGTGTACTACTATATAATATATAAGTAATATAAGTATATATTATCCCCATGATATCTCCAATTGGTTGGTTCTATAAGCAAAATTTGGTTGTAAACAATTTTGGAGGTATGGGTATACCTCATTTTCAAACAACCCTGAATCCATCATTCACTGATCAAACCACTATTTTTGATGCTTTCCCTCTACAATGGTTGTGTACATCCTGTGTGTTCTGGTCATAAATTCTCCAGCTCCAGCTAGTCCCAGCTCCAGCTCTTGTTCCAAGAAGCGGAATGTTGAAATTCACCCTGAGTTGGGTGCCGACATTTGTCAACATGGGATGTGTCCGACTTGTCCCAGAAAGTTTCCCAACAAAATAGGATCGATGATCGTAAACTTGCTCATCCTGCTCTGGTCTGCACTCTGCACAAAAGGACACAATAAACATATGTTGGAAGAATTTGAAATCAAGAACATGAAAGCAGAACACACATCATCTGATCATCGTCTCCAGAGTCACTTCCTGGTTTTTCAAGGCCAGAAATTCTGTCGAGTCCAAAGATTCTGCCTCTTTTTGTCAAACAAACTGCAGCTTGGAACAGAAATTTGGAGACCACGAATCAAAGGTGGCAATCGCCAACCTCCCATTTATAGTTGATTTTCTCCAGCTAGAAACCTCATGAAACCTCCATTTGTGTGGGATTTCCAATTGCTCTGGACGGTACCCGCCAGAACTACCCCAGAAAAAGGTGTTTTTCAAAGATCTGGGTTTCCACAGATCCACCTGAGGCCAATTTACCCCCAAAAATGCTGGATTTGCTCCTAACATATGGCCAAGTTCAATCATTTTAACAAGGAATTTATTTATCTAGCCATATCTAGCCATATCATTCGCCCATGTTTGGACTCCCATCACCAAGGCGCTTGTATCTGATGAAGCAACGGATGGTCCTTGGTCGTGGGATTGGAAGACCTGCTATGACCGCTATGACCCATGGGATTTTCCATCGACTCAAAACCAAGATTGACACAATCGTAGCTTCAACTTCTCCGGAAACTCATCGGCTGTGGACGTTTCGGCTCATGTTTCCTCAAATTGAAAGTAATAGTTTTTTGGGGGTTAATTCTTCTAAGTTTCTGTTGTCATATTGTAGTTCTGCACTTAAAAAAGAAGTTCCACAACTCTGTCCAGGGCTCTGTGGTTTCAATCCCATGAGTGCAATTCATGTTTTTCTGGTGAAATCCTCATATTTGATGGTGTCCCGAAGTTATAATGCTTGGTTGATGAACCCCTTACAAGTAGTTCGACACACAACAAACCCAACACTTGATGGAGCTGCGTTTGCCAACTTCGCTAAATAATCCCATTGAATCCCATTGAGTCACCATATTTTGGTGGTTAAACCGTTAACCCCCCTCTTTTTTTCTTCAGACCCGGTCCAAGTTGCGTGGGGTTCACGTACTCGTAAAACGTGAAGCTTTCCAACTGCTCATCCCGGGTCACCCATGACCTGCAAAGTCAAAGCAACGATTCTTAGACTTTATAGATCACAGATCATACAGAACCATGTGGAAAAGATATGATGTTATCTTGCATTCCTAAGTGAAACGAACATTTTTTTACATATAAATAAATATATATATATATATGCAGGGTGTTTTATGTGTAATATTATGTATAGATATATAGTAATAAGATATTGCATATCCAGACATGTACATATGCCAATTGCATAGGTATGATATGATGAGATATGACATTATGCCTGAATATAAATTATAACACCCTCATCGCGACGTCACTGGAATGATGGTGAAGGAGAGGAATCATCTCCAAATACAATTCTTTCAGGTTAGTGATCAAGTATCAATTATCCAGAAATGTGATAAGTACTGATCCTTGTTAAGAATATAGTATCAGCTATAGATCATACAATGATATAATAAGTATCAGTTATCCATGATAAGTGATGTCAACTACTGATCTAACTTTTCCGTTTCTCAAGTTACCTACGGATTCAAAATGATCTAAGTGCCTAATCACTGAGGCTGGGAATGTAATGGATGAAATTGGTGAAAGCATGGCTCAGCATTGGCAATCCCTGCACGTTGTTACAAAGCACTCTCCGCAACCTCCCTCTGCCGTGGAGAATGGAAAAAACAATTATATTGTGTAATACACACAGTTACAGTAAATATTATGTATATATATATGTATTACTATATATATATATTACTTTATATATATATAATATATATATATACACAGTATCTATACATAATACATAATACTCAATCTAGAAAGCCCTGAGCAAAACTGGGCTCCCACTATTTCACGGAACATGGATACCACGAGCCCTGCCTGGAACTGGGCGGAGGCTTCACCTCAGTAGGGGATGTTCGAGCAGGTTGTGTCCAGGGATCTTAAGATTATTTATGTATAAGGGATTCTTCCAAAAAACATATATTGATATTATGTGGAAAATAATATTTAAGATTCTTTGAACATGAAAGCACCAAGGCGAATGCAACACGGGAATGCAACTGAGAAGGAACTGGTGAAGGCATGGTCTCATTGGAAAATTCGAGGCGTGGTTGAACAAATCCTGAAGACTCAACCGACTCAGTTTAGTCCACAAAACAATATTCCAAACATGCCAGATGCTGCCAGATCTATCCAAATTTGATCCCTTTATCCGACTTTATCCTGGAAAACACATCTCAACGATTCGAGAAACGCATCTGGAAGGTCCATGACTGGGATGATTTGGCGTTCCAACCCTGTCGAACACTTTCACGGCGTGTTGATGATTGGGTAGGTTTAAGGGAAACAACGAGAGGAAACATGAGGAAACAACATTTTTTGTCAGTACATGTGGCTTTGGGCCAGTTCACTCCGCTACCCTCTTCATACTAAAATATCCTACTTGGGGGTGCATCCCACTTAGTAAATCGGGTATATCCCCAGTTATATGTGGAATATCCCTTATATATGGGGTTTCCTGGGTTTTATATGGATGGATTACGAACCATTTACTAAGTAGGACGCACATCCTAAGTACAGGATATATATATATATATGATTAATTTATATATGATTATATATATATGTATGTATATATATATATATATTATATATATATGTATGTCTGTATTGACCCATCCCCATGTGGGGTCTCCCTATCAGTCTCCACCCCAGCGGAAATCCATAGGTCTCCGTGCATGAAATTCATCCAAGAACACACCGCCAGTCTTCCAGTTGTCCGGAGACTTTTCCACCTTGAGCCACCCATTGGCCGGTGATCATCATCCCATGGCCGAGATTTGTCGATGCTTCCTCTGGATGTTGGGACACCCCCTAAACCCAACTTACAACTTTGACGCACTTTTCACATCTCTCCCGGCATGATTGTCTCAAAGGGTTTTGGGGGTCGCCCTGATTTGTTGATTTCTGAGCTTCTCACAGACCTCGCGAGGTCGCAAGAAGTTGCTCAGAAAAATGGCCCCATGCCCATTGCTGTGGAAACTCCATGCCATCCCATGGTTTTGTGAAAAATATTGGCCATATCTTGCGGCGAAAATCTGACGCGAAATGGTGACCGTTGAGGTTCCCAGCAATCAGCAATCCTTGCCGACCATCGAGGACGGAGTTGGGCCTGGAGGATGGGTCGACCGTTGACCAAATTACTGGTGCGCAGCAGGGAATGGGGGAAGGATCAATAAGTATACTATTAATCAACTGGGATGTTGGTTGTATATGGGGGAATTATATCTACTGATTAATATAATAACTATTAATCAATGGGAATTTCAGGATCCTAAAATGATCTAAAATGGAGGTACGTTAGTACTACATAAGACCATACTTTCAGGGGATATTCCCTGAAATTTAGGCCTTATATAGGCCGTATATATATATATATATGGTAGGTACCTCCAATTTAGGTTCCTGAAATGGCCATTGAATTAATCATCCTCCCATTCCCCCCATTCCCTACTAAGCACCAGTAAGATTGAAAATGAAAGGACCGGCCACTTATGTTTGGAACGCAACATTCATTTTGTTCTTTGGGACTGTCTGAAAATTGGGTCCCACAATCATGGCAATTCTGGGCTACGTGTACGTTCCATTTCTGGGCAAAGATGGGTACTATTAACTCATTAACAATATATCCATATCATTGACCCATATTAATTCATTAACAAACTCATATTAATTCAAGCCCATAGGCAATATATCACATCGAAAATCTTTCCGGGGGATAAACCATGTTCCCACCACTGATCAGCACAGGATACCTGTGAAACAGCTGTGCTCCGGGCGTGAACAAATCCACCACGTGACGATGGATATAAGCCTGAACACCCAGCTTTCAGTGAAGAAACCAATGGGGAGGCAATTAACTCAGCATCCGGCCATCTAATTAGTCCCCAAAACAGATTGTTCTTGTATATATATATATATACATATGATATAGATACACATACACATAGACATAGACATGTAATTAATTACATATATTAATAACATGCAAATGATACAGTATACAGTGTATATATACATATATATCATTATATATACACACCATCATAATGTCAAACTGTTAAACACATGACTGTTAAACAACTAAACCATTGAACTATCCAACCGGTTGCACATTGCAGCAATTTTCCCAAATCTACCACCTTGGCCATGACTTGTCGCTGGCTGCTGCTATCCCACTACTGAGAGATTCAGATGACTTGCTCCATCTTGGTCCCCAAGTTGCGAAGAAAAGTCTCCGCTTACGCCTAGAATGGGATTTTTGTTTTTTTTTCTGGGAGTACTTGAGGCTTTCACCTTGGCTATGGGTCACAACATGTCACAATCCGAGGTTCCCATCTCGCCTCCCTGGACCCTGGCATCGGGGGGACCTTTGCATGAACCTTGGACGATGGCCATGGATGGCCCAGACTGGTTGGTGGTTGAGCCCTACCCCTCTGAAAAATATGAAAGTCAGCTGGGATTATGACATTCCCAATATATGGAAAAATAAAAGATGTTCCAAACCACCGATCAGCATAGAATTCCACACATGGGGAACTTACCACCAAAAACGTGAAATTCAGCAAGCAGCTGCAAGCAGCAACATGAGCGGTAACCCAGAAACAACGAAATTTGGCGGCAAGCAGCAGGGATGAACACGTCAAACATTTGGCAGCTCAAATTTGGTTCAACGTGGAAACGGCTCGAATAGCGATGGTCAGTAGAGAAAACCTGAAAAAAAAACCAAGAGGTTCCACGTATCATGTCTTTTCAGGGGATGTGTCGAAGGAACGATAGCCTCCGTTGGTGTCCACTTTTCTCCATAAAACATACCATAAATGACTAGAAGGGAGGGTTCCCCCTTGACAAATGCATAATCGTTTCAACCGGATCCATGAGAAATTCATATGGTCCAACCCCAGGAAATCGGCGTTGATCAACAATCCTCAGGGGATTTATCGTCAATGGTGAATTCAAAAGGCAGAAACAGCTGCCATTTGGAACAGCAAGCATACAGAACAGCAACCATAATATAATATATATATTATGTATATTATATATATATATATATTATGTATATTATGTATATATATGTATATCATATATATATATGTCTATATTATGACTTCCAATGGTCATCTGGTGATTTGGCTTGGCTGTTCAGAGTCCTACGATAATCCCCTATCGGGTGATCTAAGAATCTAAGCAGCTTCCATCCCCAAGAAAAACTGCAAATTCCAAGCCGGTGAGTACCACGGTGGTAGTTTCAATGCCAAAATATGCCAATTTACAAAGTCACTTTGGTCAGCATCCTACAGCTACTAAACACAAGAAGCAAGAAGATCCAACCACCAAGCATGTCTACTGGTGAAGTATTTATAATATTTTATAATCATAAATTCATCTTAATGGCGCTTTATTCTTGTTGATATCCTATTTTTTGTTTACGCAACTGGCGGCCAAGATGCATAGAGCATCAGCATTGAGGCCCTCTCCGAATACGAGGTCACCACCTGTGGATTGGTTTTATCAGTTTTATCCTTCTCTTCGGCGCTTGTGGAAGGCCACTCCTTTCGAGGCATACCCCATAGGATCCATGGTGCTGGTATATATGCTAACATTGGGGGTATATTGATGGTAAATGTTACCATATATAGCATACATGGATCCTATGGGTACAAGAATCTGATAGCACCATCGTCTACGGAAAAGGTCCAATACAAATCTCACCAATATCGGCCATCTCGGGACCTCAGTGAAGGATCCTCCACTAATATCTCAATGCTGGGCCCCTGAGGATTTTTCTCATCAATCAATATGATCGAAAAACATACTGACATGAAATATATGAAATACTATTTTGGGATTTGTGTGGGTATCAAATGTATGAATTATCAATTACTATTTTGGGGTTTCCCCTTGTTGTTGGGACAAAGTGTGTCTCTGGTCTGTTTTCTTCATAGTCTGCGTCAACCTAACCAGGGTGAGACACCAGTGCATTGCAGGTCCACCTGAGATAATCCGCAAAAGATACCCTCAAACGGAATCCAGCACCAAAGTCACCAAACCCTCCAACATCCAATGATCAATTACAGTATCCTCCATTTGATGGTCCAATTATGGCCCAGATTGGGATATCCGGAAACTCCCTGATGGATAGGGCCATGAAATTTGACCACAGCCTATCTTGGTCCATGGGAACCAACAAAAACAACACCTGAGAATTGAATATCTCCAAATCGTTAGACAAAAAAACTATTTAGCTTCTATTCATTGATTCATTTCAGATCATGTATCAACGATTTTTTACTGGTTGGTGGTTTGAACATGTTTGAACCATATTAGTCAGTTGGGATGATGACATTCCCAATTTTGTTGGAAAGTCATATTCCAAATATTCCAAACCACCAAGCAGTATTGCCATTGACGCCCGGAGATCCGCCTCTGGACTGAAAGGCAGCCACTGAGAAGATAGATCTGCCCTGGCGCCATGGGAAATCCACAAAAATCCATGGCTGGAAATATGGAAACATCATCTATAAATGGATGGATTTTCCATATGCGTAGAGGCGCTAAGAGGCTACATGATGTTTTCAAACACGAACATTCTGGTGTCATCATGAACCACTTCTGCAGCAAAAGCCCAAATGAAGCGAGCCGCAACGTATCGCGTGGCGCATCTGTTCCCTTTGGGCTTCCGGACTCCCAATTCATGGCCAGCATCTTTTCCCACCTCGCTCCGAACAGTCCATCCCGACACCAATCTGAAACTGGAAATTGCTGAGACATCTAAAACATCATAGTGTTCAGCGATAATCCAATAATATTTATTTATCTACCTACATTTATTGTTGGATTATTGGATCTACCTACATATTATCTACCTACATTTATATAGATAATAAATGTATCTACCTACACTTATCTCCAACATCTCCAACACAAATAAAATCACGAAGCAGCGACACAGGACTGGTCGGACTGGTCACGGTCGCAACAGTGTTCCTATTGGTATCAATATATGATTGAATACTGGTTGGTGGTATACCTACCCCTCTGAAAAATGATGGAGTTCGTCAGTTGAGGTTATGACATTCCCAACATATGGACAGTCATATTCCAAATATTCCAAACCACCACGCAGTATATGATTGAATATGACATCTTTAGCAGGTGTCAACCCATCTCAAGCCTCATGGGACCATCCGATGACCGTCTCATTTGGAACCAACCAGGTTTGAGCAACGGTTAGATCGATGCTACATCCGCAAGAATCTCTGTTCTCACGTATCTTGTAGGTTTATCCTCTGGGAAATCAACAGTTAGCTAGTGAACATGGCCCATAGAAATAGTTGATTTACCAATTAAACATGGTGATTGTCCATAGCCCATAGCTATGTATGTTTGCCAGAGGGTAATCCCATTATTAACCACTATTAACCACAATGATTAACCATAAATTAGACCATTGTAGAAAGGTTAACAACTAAATCACCATTAAATCACCATTAAATCACCATCTTTGCAGATCAAATCCGTTCCCAGTGGCGTGGCTGGCAGATCCGTGGAAAAACAGACATCGATGGTCTCAGCCCGGCGCCTGGGGATCTCTTAGGGGGATCATCATGGGATTATCGTGGGATAGTACTGGATGGAATATCTGTTGAATATGGGAAATTAATGATGGATGTATTATATATATAATGATGGATATATATATATATATCATGGAAGAAATGAATGTGAATATAGTGGAATATACAAATCTACATAGCATATAATTTAAAATATGAAATATGATTGTAGATATAGTATATTATGTGTATATATACATATATACACGAGATCTATGATAAATTATGATATAACCAACACCATTCGCTCTGAAAACGGAGCCTTCCCAAGCATCATCCCTCTATGTCCATCGCACTGGATGATCCAACGACCAACTAGACATTTCTGGATTATGTAAGGAGAACTATCATTAAATAATTGATTGTGTTTTATGATGCTATTGTTTCTGGATCAATTTCTGGGATTTCTGGTAGACATATGTTTTTTGTTCCCTCTGGTTTTGGTAATGATCAGGAGAACTATTCAATCATTCTCTTGGGACATATTGGGCATTTCAGAGTATGTTTTGTAATCTATTTTGATAGGGACTATCCAAACATTGGCAACTATGATCATCCTACTCAGGCATAAGAACCATCGCAGGTCTGACTTGCGAAAAAGAAACCAATGAATCGCTGGGATACATACTAGTTACTGATAGTTACTGTATATCTATTTGAATTTGCTAATGATCAAAACCAAGAAAAAAGAGAAGAATGCATCCAAGAATCCAAGTATTATCAAGTATTGCTATATAAATCAAATGGATAATCATCAGGAGGAACCCGGCAACATTGCAAGCACATATAGCATGGACATGCATGGACCATGTGCACATTGCACGTTGATTGAAGCTGATGTCCTTTGCCCAGATTTGTCTCGTGCAAAAAAAATGCAATCAATCCTGAATTGCTGTTCATCATACTGACTATCCCATCATAATCCCATGGAATTATCATGATGGGATTATCATGGGATTTCATGGCATCTCACGATCAGACCATGGCACCATCTTCAACGGGTCGACCACAAAACACCACTTAAGTGAATCATGTTTGCCAGTCTTTCATGGTGCTGTTATATTTACCATCTATTTACCAACAATTTTGGGGCTAAATGCTGCGTTGTTGTTGTTGTTGTTTTTCCTAGGATCATTTCCCAAAGAACATGAAGCGAGGATGCCTAGGAGATCTTAGGAGTAACTAGGATCTCGCACACGTAGATCACCATTTTGTTCTCAGGCAACTCGAGCTTGGTATATCCCTCCTGACGCCGCGACACCCCTCAAGGCAAGTGACTTGCTCTTCGCGAATGCACTTAAATAGATGTTAATAGCTCATAGATAATAAGTTTCCATAGATAATGCTAAGAATGTAATGTTCCATAGATGTTGCAGTTCATGGATAATCATAGTTAAACAAGTTTCCACTACCAAAGGCACTTAATCAGTCACTCCAATAGTTAATCCTATTATTTCCAGTCAGCGTTCCGTGGATTTCCTCATTCCAGCTTTGGTGCAGACTGGCAATGCTTGATTCCATGCATATGCGACAGCATGAACATACACAAAACGCACTTTTTTCAATGCGTTGGATATCAACCATTGCTCGTGTCCTATGGCATAATGTCTTTATCCCGGAGGCATATATCAAATCTACAGTATCATCACCTAGACATCACAATGGTGGCAAAATTAAATGATCAACCTCTCCAAAAAAAACGCTAATAGACACTATGGCAAGATAATATCTTGGAGATGCAGCGTTTGTAGCTTTTGCACATGGATACAGGCGATGGTAACCCGATTGCGCTCCTATATATATATATACATACATATATGATATATATATATATAGTTATTTATGAACATATATGATATGTATATATGATATGTATATATAGACATATATATATATGATATGTGTATATATATATATACATATGTGTGTATTTGTATGTACATATAGAATACATATGTATAGACCATATATATATATATACATATACATGCAACATCTAGATGTTGTTCCCGTGAAAAATGTCGATTTCCGTTGCCATGTTTTATTATCAGAAGGTATATTAGCGCCGTTGTTTGTGTTGGCTCCTTCTCAGTGGGTAGCCTCGCTCGAACTGCCTGAGACAGAGACTGGCTTCAGGATCTAAGCTGGCCATCGACTCCTTTGCTTTGATTACTCAAGATAGGACTAATATACTAAGGATATCTTTGCTAAGATCTAAAAAGGATCTAATCTTTACTAAGCTTCCTTTGGTTGGATAACTGAAGTAATGATAATATTATCAAATATATACTAAAGAAGTAATATCATCACTATTCAAATGATAATTGATATATGATCAATCTGAAGTTGGAATCACTTGAGTATGGGTGTGCAAGATAGAAGGCCTCTAGCGAGAACAAATGGATAATTGAATGCCACAAAAGGTTCATGCAGAATAAAATTTGGGAGGTCGTCTGCAAGAGAAACATTATCACTGTTCATAGCTAGGGGTGTTCCATTCCCTCATCTTCAGAGGACCTAGAGGTGGCAAAAAAAACAGCTTGATAAATGTAACCTTAAGGGGCTGTACAGGAAGGGGCCTCGCAGTTATAAGTTGGTTTATAAACCCCAATAACCATAGTTATATAGTTCGCTATATCTACCATAAACCATAGAATTCAGCCACTTTGAAACCAACTGAACGCTATCTTGGGGGCCCCATCCTGTACCCTAAGAAAATAGACTAGTGAAGATCCTGAGCTTCAGGTCAGGTTCCAGCTGGGATCTGTTCCAGTGTGTTTCCTGGGAGAAACATTAGATATAGAGTGTTTTTTTCTAGTGATAGACCAGTGATAGATCCACTATATAATCACTATAATCCACATTGACATATATAATTGGATAATATTGGATGTATGTATATATATATATTATGATCCACAAGGTCTGGCTCAGATCGCCCCACGCATTCCGCGATTGTGTCGTGACCTTAGCGGTGCTTCTTGCCATTGACGAGTGCCGCGGGGCAAATTTGTGCCCTTTCCTGCTGTGGTCCCAGCCACATTAAATATCCTGGGCAAGGTTTGACAGTGGCCTTAAAGCACTGTAAGTGTGGGGTGAGCTCCCAATTTTTCCTGCCTGGCTCGATAGGGACAATTTTACCTTCGAATCATTTGGATTTGGCCTGCAAACTCCGTGAATACAATTCAAATATAATTTCTATTTCATTTTCCCACATTTTGTGGACGGGTCCTCAACTCACTGCCATAAGTTGAATTTGTACAATTTGCGTGACTTTGTGTATTTCTTCCTCTGGGGATTGGTGACTGATTACCGCATGCCATTGACGTTGTTCTGGCTGCTTTTTATTTTTCATCATCAAGAACTCACAGCGAAGATCTCAAAGGAGAACACGTGCGAGAGCTCGTCTGACTTGGTACCTCCATCGTTCAGGTCGTGTCAAGCTGAACAGAGCAAATTTATTGATATTGATCAGAAGACTCAGTGCACACCATTCGAAAGATTTTTCTCTGATTCGACGCATCAAACAAGAAGCGATGGCGAATTCAGATCCATGGAGGTGCATGTATTGCAAAAAGATTTCGAAAGCCACGGCCAATGGATGCAGCCAGTGTTTGACAGCATGGCAAGACTGTCAGGACACTACATATGTGCCGCCATCCAAACAGCAGAAATACTCCGCTCAGCAGAACCAATCCGGTTGGGATTGGGATTATTCACAAGAAGGAAGCCATGCTCCCAGAACACCGAAAGGGAGAAAGGTAGAATGGCAACAACCCAAGTCACCACGTCAAGGACGTGGCAAAGGGAAAGGCAAGGGAAAGAAGAAGGACTCAGGTCCGAAAGGCAAAATGAAGGAGGCGGGTCAGGACAAAGGCAAGGGAGCGATGTCAAGCTCGCAAGGGACCACTATGATTCCGCCGGAACCGCCATGGACAGTCAGTTCAACTGGCCTTGCTCCTCTTCCACCTCCCACAGAGCCTCCACCCCAGACTGCAGAAGGAGTTATGTTGAAAGAGCTGCTTACAGCTTTGAAAAAGTCTGCCACCGAGCAGGATCCAGAGGTGAAAGCGATTGTTCAGAGAACAGCCATGCAAGAAGGCCAGGGTGCAGCAAAAACTTTGTACTCAGCAGTAGACGATCTCACAACTGCTCGAGAAGCATTGGACTGTGCACGATTGGCGCGACACAACTTGCACATCCGCTGGAGAAATTTCTTAGCAGATGCAGTGGTCAGATGGCAAAAACATACGACAGATTTCCAGAAGGAGGAAAAGGAACTTACGGATCAGATCGAGGCTGCTCGACAGGCACTACACAATGCCGTCACCAAGTTCGAAGAGTCCAAACAAGAACTGGGAGACCAAGTGGTAGATGTCGATGCAGAAGTTCCAATGGCCGAAGGATCAGAAGGTGCAGAGAAAGACACGATAGGTACTGCTCTTCAGGAGAGCCTATCCACAATGTCTGCACAACTGATCTCGCTACAAGCATCAGCAGAAGCTATGGTGACAGACGAAGTGAACTCCAACAAGAGGCAAAGAACAGATGGAGGCCAAGCTGGGCCATCATTCTCTGCCGGAGCTGGGTTGCCAGCTGGTTCGCCGTCGCCCAATGCCCCATCGATGCAGCCATTTCCACAAGAGAAGCCGCCTTTTGTGCCGCCCGACAAGTCGTGACGGAAAAGTACACTTGTCTAGGGCAGAATCAGCATCCACTCCTTTTGAAGTGGGGACATAGTGCATGTCAAGAATCATGGTTTGTCCCGGAATGGGAAGCACTTGAAGCGGCGTTTGAATTGTCTTGGAAACTGGGAAGCAGTTGTAGCTCATGTCCAACCGATGTCAAACTGTCGAAGCCTACATGTGGGAGTGATAGGCATGTTCAGTTTTCGAATGATGTAGACTTGTGCATTTGTAGCTCTACTGCACCTTTGAGTATTTCCTTCAAGACGACCGATGCATTTATCAAACAATGGCCAGAAAAGCCATGGAGTTTGAACTATCAACCAGAAAAAAGTAGTGGAACTTCCTCGGAACCGCTGTCCAATGGGGCCGTGTCGATCCGGAAGAACCACCCAGAATTTCCACTGACACAAATTCGAACAACCGATGAATATCATAATGTGCCTTCATCATGGTTCCAGGATGCCACTGATCCTGACATGCCAGAAGCTGAGGAAGAAGATGACACTCAGTTTTTCTTACATGAGGAACCAGAATCAGTCCAAATTTTGTTTGATGCGCTCTTGAGAGCAGGACTCATCATTGGGCCAAGACTTACAGACAGTGTTTTCTTTCGTACTTGGCACATTCACCATATCCATGAACACAGATGTTGGCACCCAAGAATCATTGAATTGAACGGTCATTGGAGAACGTGGTTTGCTGATATTGTTTCAGGTTGGCGAGACAAAAATGAGCCAACGGAAGAAACCATTTTTAGCATTGTTCATCCTGACCCTCCACGAAGCAATCTCCGTCATGAAATCATGTTTGATCTCATTATTGCGCAGGGGCTTGAAGCGCCAAGAAAAGCCGGTTTGATCACAGTTTTGCAGAAGGATGAGGCAAACGCCAGAGAAAGATTCGCTGTCGCTGCATCAGTGCCTGATCAACTCAGCGGCTATCAGGCTGTACAAAGTGCAGAAGTGCTTCATGAGTGCAACATCCACATGTGCACGATTCGGCATGACCTGGTGATCATTCCCTTTACCATGACGCCTACACATGACATGCAGGATGGTGATTCATTTACCATTGCAGTACGTTCCCGTTCCCCAGGTTCGGCGGCAACAGGCAGCCATGACTTTCCTGTAGAGAGTGGACCTAGTAGTAATGCAACCATGGGTTCCAATTCTAGTGGTAGTGGGGATCCCGATGCATCAGAGCCAGTATCTGCAAACGCAGGAGATGTTTCCAGTCAAGGGGTTCACATTTTCCGCCTTGGGCATCCACCAACATTTGGCAGATTGAGATGGGACACGGCAGATCACATTTTGCATGATGCAGCACGACTTGTGCGTACACCACCAGCGCAGTGTGTCTGTTTTCACTACCTGCAGGTGCATCCCGATGATATGGACATCCAACAAGAGGCTATCATCTTGCAACATCTTCATGATGTGGCCCCGGGTTCCACTGAAAAACTGATTCTCATTGACGTTGAAATGCACGGCTCGGCATCCAGTAGTCAAGCACTCCATGCGCCAAGGGTCATGAGGCAGGTCTTTAAGGTCGTTCCAACGTTGACACGTTCACAGGTCCTGCAGATTGCACATGTCCTTGCGTATTGTGAATGGGCTGCCCAGGGATGTTTTGTCTTTTGCAACAGAATTATCTGGAATGCACAAGATTTTGGTCCTCGCCGTATTGCCCACGGGATGTACTTTCGAATCATCATTCCACCGCCTTTGAACACTGCTTGGGAACTTGGCCATGCACTGCGCATATTCGAGGAGACAGCAGCTCTCTTCGAATCCCCAGAAGCCAGTCGTGTAGCGGTGGAAATTTTAAACAACAACCCACAGGGTCCTGTCCATGACGTCATCACCAATAGGACTTGTGGGAACACCCAATGCAAAGGGGCTGACCTTGGACCATATGATATCGACATACCCATCACAAATCCACCACCTGAGTATCGAAGACGTCTCAGACCAGAACATGATGGAACTATTCAATGGTTGCTGGATTTGGGTCACATTTTTGGTCAGGCAGCTGAAGAAGAAGCAATTGTAGATGAACCGATGCTGTATGTTCAAACTTGGTTTGTGAATCACAGACTTCATACGTCCTGTCGAAGACCACGACCACTCAGGCTTGACAGACACTCTGTGACTTGGATTGATGATTTCAGACATTTATGGGCTGATGTTCTGCAGAGAAATGAAATCTTCTCTTTGAGAGTTGTTCAGCCGAAACCTCCACAACCAAGATTGAACAACTACGCATGCCATGTCATTGTGGAACAAGCAGTGTGTCCCCAGAGAGCAGCATGTGTCATTACGGCTTTGCTTGAAGGAGACCGAACAGATGGTTTCATCCAAGGTGCCTTTTCCCTTCCAGTTGTGATCCGTGAGCAGAATGTCATTGATGCGATTGAAATTGAGCCTTTCTGTGAAGGGAGAAGTCGCACAGTTACATGTGGTGCTGCTCCAGTCCACTTGGTAGAGGCAACAGAGATCAACTCAGGATGCAGCATTAAAGTTCGTGTCACCAAGCCACAATCACAAATGCCGATTCCGCCTGGTGAAGAGAATGGACATTTTGAAGACATTGCAATGCTCCAAACCCCAACACCACGGATTCTCAATCTTGACACACTTGTGCATAGTTGTCATATTGATTTTGGTTTCAAGGTCTCCAGTGAAAATCCATCAATGGGAACAGATCCAAACTTTGAGTTCAATGCAAATGCTGCAGAATTCAGACCCGGAGCCTGGAATATCCGTGCACAACCTGAGCACATCCAAGACCTTTATGCACAATGGTCTCAACGTGCTAGAGCATGGGAAGGTGAAGCACCAATGTCAAATGTCATCACTTGGTTTGTCGACCACAGACAGGAATGGCATTGTTATCATGGCAGAGTTGTTGCTTTGCAGGAAGATTTTGAAGATTGGGAACGACGCATGCGACAAACCTGGCAAGACAAGATTGATGCAAATGTGCCCCTGGAGTTTAACATTGTCTCACCGACACCGCCAAGACTTGAACAGAATGTAGCAGCGCATGTCATTCTTGTCCAAGCCCCAGGAGACACATTAGTGACATCCTTGGTCACAGCGTCTGATCCTGCCATTTATGGACCTGAGCCACGCCGGGCAGCAGTCACTACGCATGAGCACATCAGTGTAGAGCAAATCCTGCGACCGTGCAATTATGATCCAGTTTGCCTCCGACCGGAGAGTCAGGTTCAATGTCAGGTGTGGTATGACAGAATCAATTTGCTGCCAGGCATGCCGATCCCAGGGAGATCAGGTTATAGCATTGTTGTTTTGGTGCACAGATTGCCCATTCCCATTCTTCATTGGCCAACGCAGACAGTCATTTACCCCCATGATGAAAATGTGCATTTGCAGCTGTCAGCGCGCACAAAACAACCATCCATCAACACTCCAGATTTGGACACAGGATCTGTCGAAGTTACTGAGGTCTTTGTTCCGATTTCATTGATTGATGGTGCAGATGAGCTGGACATTCCACAGCAAATGTTCTTACCTGACCCGATACAAGCGGAAGACATTGAGAGGGAACTGGCACAAATGGGATGGGTACGTCATGTTTATGTTTTGCAAAACACGGGTTTCGCCTTCTGTGTGCCCTTGCAATGGAAATGTGAAGCTGGTGCACAGTGTTTTGTTTACCATCCCATTGGTTGCTGCGACAGAAGTGAAATCATCCTGCATCAGACCACTGAGCCTCTGTCAGAGATTAAACACATGCAACTCTTACATTCCTTAGGATTTTGTAGAGCTGTTATCGTTTCGCAGAATGCAGTGCGCAGTGGCCTGACGTTAATTCAGTACCATAACAACCAACCGGCACTGGATGCAGGATCTGGGCGACCAAGAAGCAGTACACCGTGGCCAAAACCCATGCCAACCTTCCAAAGCCAACCTTTCTTTGAGGCACAGAAAGTTCCAACAGAGGTTCCGAAGCACCGACTGGACTTTGGTGCTTCTTTGGATGACCTACAGGACTTTTTCCAATCAAGTGCTGATGTCCTTTGCCCATGGTATAGCCATCTGGACATGCCGGAAGTCACCAGAAAGGCAATGACCAGCACTGCCTCTACTGAAGCCCAAACATTTTCTATTTCGGATTTTGACAGACTTATTATCTACACAGATGGTAGTTCCAAGTCTCAAAACAGACGAAAACCACCCCTTCGGGTTCAGGAGCAGGATGTCCCTGATGCATGGGCATTTGTCGTCCTCGGAGAAAAGTATACAAGTACCCATGGTGAGGTTGACTTGACGCTCCTGGGTTGGCATGAGGAACAATTGACACATTACCTGGGCACGACTCAAATCGGCTCAGAACATGCAGAGCGCGAAGCGCTGTTCTGGGCAGCGCTGTGGAGGCTTTCCATCAACTTGACAATTCCTACAGTTTTCAGATCTGACTCGGTAACAACTGCAGATCAGTCTTTAGGTGCCGCTGGATGTAGGGATGATCACCCGACATACGGTCATCTGCGCAGTATATTCCAAGCATTGCAAGCTGCACTGCCTCCCGATTGTCTCGAAGTACAGCATGTCCGAGGACATGCGGGAGATCCTTGGAATGAGCTAGCGGATCACTTAGCAAAGACTGAGGCAACTTGTGGCCACAAATTGCGCCGACAGTCCATTGACCTCCGAAAGTGGAAGCCTGTTTTTCCTTATTTATGGATGCTTTTTGAAAGTCGTGCAGGACTCCCTCAATTCCGAGGCAACTGCTTTGATGTACACCCACCACGCCTCCCCGAGGCGAAGCCAGCTGACAGACAGGCCAGTAGTAATGGTTCACGAATCATTCGACATCACATGGCTTTGAGCCTCGCCACATGTAATGTAGGCTCGCTTTTTGTCGGCCCTGACGGCTATGGTGGCAAGCTTGCTTATCTGCGTACACAAATGAAAGCATTTCAGTTGAACATGCTAGGGATCCAAGAGGCTAGAAGCCCAGCAGGAATGTCCGCAACAGATGAGATCATCCGACTTGCCAGCGGATGTGAGCATGGTCAGTATGGTGTTGAGCTTTGGGTCAACACATCGCATCCTATTGCACACAACGGGTCCAGTCCATGTTTTGTCAAGAAGTCGCATCTTCAAGTTGTCCATTCAGACCCACGACGTATCGTTGTGAGGATTGCCCATCCGTGCTTAGATTGCCATGTGTGTGTTTTTCATGCACCGCAGAGTGGTAGACCCTTGCAAGAACGCCGTGCATGGTGGACTGAGACGAGCAGGATCCTTCAGGAACTTGCAAACGCACATTCCTTGTATGTTTTGATGGATGCCAATGCCAAGACAGGACCAAGCTGTGAACCAATTGTGTTCGGAAAAGATGATGCCAGCTCAGCGAACACAAAATTTTTATGTGACTTCTTGGTGGACAGAAATCTGTGCCTTCCAAGCACTTCGCAGCTGCATCAAGGCCCTGACCACACGTGGACAGCACCTGACGGGATTGCGCAACATAGGATTGACTTTGTTGCCATACCTCAAGATGAAATCTGCTTTTGCACGTATTCTTGTACTCTGGACCAATTTGATCATGGCAATCAGCATGAAGATCATCAAGCAGTTGCCTTGCAGTTGCAGTGGATACAAGATCGGGTCATCCCTGGAAAGCATTCGCATATGACCTGTCAACTTGACCGTCATGCAATTACAGGGCAAGAGCGATTGATTGACATGTCATACTTGCAGGCCAGTCCATGGAATGAGGACGTGGAAACTCATGTCCAAGCTTTTAACGCTGCCATTCATACCACAGTCAAGCAATGTTGCTCCATCCGCAGACAAGGGAAAAAGAAACACTACATTCCCGAGGAGGTATGGGCATGGCGGTCTGCCAAATTGCACTTGCGTCGGAGATTGCAAGAAGCCAGAAAGCAGATTAGTCGAGACTCTCTTCGTCTTGTTTTTTGGGCATGGAAACATCACCAACAAGATTCAGATTGTATCCAGCCCATACTGTCGGCACACGCTGGTCATGCCAACACGACGATTTGTCTCCTTTTTCATCTCAATTGTAGATATCAGACTCTTGCACGCCAAATCAAACGTGCATTGCAGCGCACTAAACATGTGCAGCTAGCCAAGGAGCTAGACTCCACCTGTGACAAAACAGCAGCAGGAACCCTCCTGCAGATGCTCAGGCCATTTATTGGATCCACCAACCTCAAAAAACAAAAGAAGTCTGGCCTTCCGGCAGTCAGACAAAAAGACGGCAGCATTTGCCGCACTCCAGAAGAGGCACAGAATCGGTGGATTGAATACTTTGGCCAAATGGAAGGTGGCACACGACTTAGCCATGATGAATATCGATCGGTGTGGAGGGAAAACCTGCACAAATTCATGCACCATGAACCGTTTGCCATCAGCATCACGGACCTCCCCAGTCTTGTTGAATTGGAATCAGCTTTTCGCCGTGTTTCTCCAGGGAAAGCTGTGGGTCAAGATGGCATTCCACCAGAATTGTGTAAGGTTAAGGCGACTGAGCTCGCTAAACTCACTTACTCCATGTTGATGAAGGTCTTTATTCATGGTCAAGAAGCAGCAGAGCACAAAGGTGGCCGTTTGGCCATTGCATGGAAACACCGCGGTGACACCAGAGACTGTGACACACACCGCTCACTGCTTGTATCCAGTCACATTGGCAAGACCATACACCGTGCTCTTAGGCAAAAGCATCACAGCTTGTACACCACATTTATGCAAGCCCAACAGCTCGGAGGACGGCCGAAGATTCCTGTAGGCATCCCGCTGCATTTGTCTCGTGCGTTCTTGAGATGGCAACGTAGGCTCAAAAGGCCTACAGCTTGTGTCTTTTTGGACCTCACAGAAGCGTTTTATCGGCTGGTTCGTCCTCTTGCGCTGGGAGGCGACTTGTCTGATGATGACATTGCCGCAATTGCTGCCAGACTAGGTTTCAATGATGACACACTCCATCAGTTTCATGCCCAATTGCAAGAGCCATCAGCAGTCCAGCAAGCAGGAGCCAGTCCTGTGGTTCAAAGGTTTTTACAAGCTCTACACAGTGACACATGGTTTACGCTGGGAACGCAACATGATGTTGTCAGGACTGCCATCGGCTCGAGGCCGGGTGACTCATACGCAGATGTAGTCTTTGGCCTACTCTGGGCCAAATTACTACGACAATATGAGCAGTTGCTGATGGACAATGGAGTGTTAGAACACATCCCTGAGTGCGATTCTCCGCACCTCTTTGACATGCCACCGCTTTCAGCAGACAATGTTCCGTTCTTAGGTCCAACCTGGATGGATGATTTGAACGTCTGCCTTGCAGCAGATACAAATCATGGCATTGAAAACAAAGCTGCAGTTGCCACAAGTCTTTTACTTGACCAATGCCGCAAGTATCACATGGAACCAAATTTGCGTAAAGGGAAAACTGAAATCATGTTTGCCTTTAGAGGAGCTGGAACACGTGCATTTCGTCGAAGATACTATTCTTCCGGACAAGGTCTTACTGTTGTTCATGAACATGGCACAGCGCAGGTATCCGTTGTTAGCCGATATTTGCACCTCGGGGGCATCCTGCACCACCGGGATGTTGACCGTGCAGAGGTGACTCGCAGACTTGCAATTGCGCATCAAGCCTTCTCCATGCATCGGAAGATTTTGTATCATAACCGCAGATTGACGTGGGAAAAGCGACGGGAACTGTTCCATACCCTCATCTTAAGCAAACTTGTTTACGGTTTGGAGTCTTGGGCCATGCAGTCTCAAAGTGTGAAAACACAATTTCACAGTGGGGTCATGAACCTTTATAGGCGCCTGCTGAAACTGCCACATGATCTTCACATCACAGACATCGCCTTGCTTGCACGTGTTGGATTGCCGACGCCAGACGAACTTTTGCGTGGTGGACGTTTAAGGTATTTCGGCACCCTTCACAACTGCGGACGTGCAGCAAATTGGGGCCTCCTTCTAGAGGACCATGAGTGGATCAGTCTGTTGGAAGATGATTTTCGTTGGCTTTGGGAACAACTTTGTAATGCAACCGACCTGCCGGAACCCACGCAACATTATCCGGTTTGGAAAGATCTGATCACCTTTCATGCGACGTATTGGAAGAAACTATCACTCAAACACCCCACAGCTTCCATCTTAACCCCAACAAACTATCCCCAAAACCTAAAGACTTAAGCAGGGTTCCCAGCCCAACCACACGCGGCATTGGCGACAAAAGTTATGTTGGCTCAGGTGCCAGGCCACAGGGCACCCTGGGCCTGGCACCTGGCTGAATCACCCCTCACCTGGGAGAGACAAACGCTGCTCAACCCTCAAGCCCTCAGCGCATTCCCCAAACTGGGGCGGGCGGGCAGGGTGCAACAAACTTTGCAGCTCCCTTCCACTGCCCTTTCTTTTTTCTATTGGAAATCCTTTCCTGCACACTAGGGCACCTGAAGCAAATCAACACCTGTTCAAAATCCAGGCAGGGGGGTGTGAGGAAGTGTGAGGCTATGAGTGATCGCCTAATGCCCCTACAGGTGCAACCGTCCCGGTCAGAAGAGGAATTGCTCATGCCATTGCTCAAAGACAGAACTACGTTGTGGCATTGGAACTCCATCAGAGTGTAGGAACAATCATGATGGACCATTGTTGGGTCCAGAGCCTGCCTTTTGATGCCAAAATAGCTACACCTTTCGCATATTTTGGTTGCATGCAATGCCAAACACGTCAGCTCACGCATGCGGGGGAGAGTGTGCACTTGTTCAAATGCCATGGCAGACTTGCACCCGCACGGTTTTTATTTGATGAAACGCACTGCCCAGCGTGTCTCGGAGAATATCACACCAGAGCCAAAGTTTTGGCTCACTTACGTGTAGCTCATCAGTGCAGGCAGCAACTGATTGGGCAACGCATGAGATGCCAACCACAACCAGGGGCAGGTTCATCCAATGACCGTGAGCTTGAAGAACGTTTGGATCGAGCACAGCCATTTTTGCAGGCCTTCGGGCCAAGAGTCAATAACCCAAGACAAATTGAATTTGAAGCGCATGATGAATCATTGCTTGAAGACATTTACCTTGCAATGTTAGATGCGGAAGAAGAGAGTGACTTGGAAGTGATTATCAGGAGGGAAATCAGCAAACATCCTGTCAGCTGGACGATTTGCAAGCATACACTCCATCATTTCCTTGAATTTTTTTCGCAACAAGACGCAGAAGTTTTGAAATTTTCCTTTGAAGATGTTCGAAGCTGTGTAATCAAGCTGGAGAACCCAGATGCCTGGTCTTTCTTACATGCAGAGTGCACACGAGATGGACGACAACTGTCCACGGACATCAGCGTCTGGGAAGACTGGTTTGCATGCATGGCCTGTTCGCCACCTTGCGAGTGGCAGCAGCTGCAACCGCTACCGAGGTCTTTAAGCAGACAGAGGATTATTCTTCATGCTTATGCAGGTCGACGCCGAAGAGGGGACATTGAATGGTATATTGACGAAGTTGCCAAGTGTCATCCGGAGGTTGTTATCCATGTTGCTTCAGTCGATATTGTGATTGATGCGGGCTTTGGCGATATCACGAAGGAAGCGACAAGAAGTTACTGGGTTGGACATATCCGACAAGGACATGTCGTTGGTTTCCTAGCTGGACCCCCATGTAACACTTGGAGCAGAGCACGCCACCATGTTCTCACTGGCACACATGGCCCTAGGATTGTACGCACACCCGATGCACCGTGGGGACGTGAATCTTTACGGCTACGCGAGTTGCAGCAGGTTAGCATTGGTACTTTGCTACTTGGGTTTGCATTCCAGTGCATCGTTGCTTTGGCGTTGCACTCTGGAACTGGCTTCGTTGAGCACCCAAAGGATCCCGAGGAGAGTCACATGGTGAGCATCTGGCGGTTGCCAGTGCTCAGAGCCATTTTGCAATTGCCCAACATTCGGCTATTGCATTTAGCTCAAGGACTCTTCGGGGCACCGTCAGCAAAGCCAACTACGCTCTTAGTCCTTGGCATGCCCGGTCTGGAAATGGAATTTCACTCCAACAGGGTGACTCGTGAACTGCCGAAGGGTGCTTCAGTGGGAAAGGATCACTTGGGTCAATTCCATACGGCTCCACTCAAAGAATATCCACCATCGATGTGTAGAGCCTTAGCTTTTGCGCTATGCTCTGAAGTCATCTGCACGGAGTGCGATGGCTCGAATGTGCCGGCTGAGTTGATCGATCGCTGTACAGCCATGACCAACCAGCTTTTCGGCCAATTTATCGGTCATGATGACGGCTGAGCACTTGACCGTGGAATTCAGGCAGAAACTGCCGCAGCGTGAGACGCTTCTATGGGCAGAGAGGAAAAAAAATTATGATCCACTATGATCACTATAATCCACTATAATCACTATAATCCACTATATATGATGTTCTTATGTGAACTACATCCACATTTTGCGTTCTGTCGTTGCTCAACTTTCTTTCATAAACGGCCGCGCAGGCACGCCGGCCGATCCAGCGGGATCATCTGTCAGCCGTTACACGGTTACACTGAACAACTTCATTTTTTTATATGTGTTTAATAAATAAACATCACTAATGATTCATTGAACATTCAATAAACATTCATTAAACATGGATTAAACATTCATTAAACATTGATTAAACATTCATTGAACATCATTCAACATTCATTAAACATTTAATAAACATTCAATAAACATTGATTGACCATTCATTAAACATTCATTAGACATCATTCAACATTCATTAAACATTTAATAAACATTCAATAAACATTGATTGACCATTCATTAAACATTCATTAGACATCATTCAACATTCATTAAACATTTAATAAACATTCAATAAACATTGATTGACCATTCATTAAACATTCATTAGACATCATTCAACATTCATTAAACATCCATGAAACATCATTTAAACATCATTAAACAATGCTTAGTGGATCTGGGGCTTCTACGATGTTTCTCAGCGAAGGCATCACCTGGCGAGGCGACATGCTGCTGGGATGATCAAACATGGCTAGTTGGGGAAATCCCCCATTTATTGGAAAATGATGGGTTTTTCCCCTATGGAAAAAATATGAAAAATCATGGATTTTTGGGACATTAACCATTCATTGGTGATTTTCCCATTAAAAGCTGCATAAACAAATATAAATGATGGGTTTTCCCATTGGCAAATGGAGGTTTAACACAAGGGGAATCTGCAGAATCTAAAAATCTATGGGGAAGTTTACAGCAAGCCATGTTTTCAGATCACCGGAGAGACTTGAAATCTCGGGTCAGACATGAAAACTTCCATTGTTCAGATCAGGAAAGTCCTTGAACTAGATGAACTAGATGTGAAATGATACCCTCTGGTAATGACTAACATAGCTATTGAAAATGGCCATTTAGTTCGTGGATTTACCCATTGATAGCATGGTGATTTTCCAGTTATGTAAACGTTTACCAGAGGGTACAATTGGTCAATTCGTTGGGGGAAAATCCTTGGGATTCCCAGGTTGGATTGCCAGAGGAGCAATGGCAGCAATGGTCTCCTGAATTGGACAATGACAATGTTTCATGTTCAAGAATTTCACATCCTTGAGCAGCTTCCAAGACCTATCCTCAATTTATCACTGCTTCACCGTGGTTCACCTTTCTTTTTGTCAAAGCATACACTACTGGCTCAATCATTCTTAGCGGTCTTCATCTGCGAAACCCAAGCAGAACCTGCCCGTGTGGGGATGATGGTTATTGATGGTGCAAAAACCCATACAACTAGAGATTTTTGGGGATGATTTATGGCATTGGGATACAAAGACGAATGGTATAGATTTGCATGAATATAGCTATATACATGTATATATATATATACATGTATACCTATCTATGTATACTTGGGTATACCACATTAGATCACAATAGACCAACTCTTCGTTGCTGAAGTTCTCCTGCGGGCCCGGCCTTTTCCAAGAAGGGTCCCACGTCCTCCTGCTCCATAAAATCATCGGGGGCCAATGGCAGAATATACAAGAAACTACCCGAAAATGATAATGCTTAGATGAAATGGTGCTTTAATGAACCCTAGATCATTGAATGATCCTCTATTCAATAGAGGATGCACCCTAAAGTAAACATCGAATGCCAAAATGAAGAATGATAATGATTTAATATGATGATTTGAGGATGATCCCCCCAAAGATATCAATTTCCTAAAATGATGATGCAAAAAAATGAAATCGAATGCAACAAGAACATCGCCATCTGTCCAGTTTCCGCACGTTTTGACGAATCCACATCCTGCCACAGCGTTTTGACGAAACGGGCCTCGTCTTTCTCCATGTCCTTTAAGAGTTCTTCCGCTTCCAAGTAACGACCCATCAAAAGCAACTGCCTGTGTGGCACCAATGCACAGTAGCCGTGGCTTAGCTGGTCAAATCAACTGTCATTTGATCGTTGCCATCACCCATGACACCACTTCGGGTTGTGGCCCGCTTTAAAGGTCCAGTTTTTCGTGACTGGTGACAAATCCAAGTATGAGTATGAGCGAAATCTCTATATATATATATACAGTATATATATAGAAAAATATGTGAATAAAATCATGTGTATGTGATGAATTAGGTTAGCTTCTGTAAGTTGGAAGAGTTCACATTCTACTAACAATTAAACAACTTAATCTTCATCAACGTAAGTTGGAGGCGAGAAAATTACAATGGGATTGGTGACCGCTAAACCTCTACTTTACTGCCAATACAATGGGAAACAACCAAGATTGGTTCCGTCCACATCTGATTGCATCCCTACTATCTTCACCTGCTGAAACACAAAAAGTATATATGCACACTGTGAATGCACACTGAACTCAAGACTTTTCAGAGTGGATGCCCGATGTCTCTAGTCTATATCATGTCATGTCATATCATCCTCACCATTTCTCTTGGTAAATGACAATATGTAATTCACCAATATTCACCATGGAATCAGGCCGGCTATCCCAATTCCAAGTCTTTATTTTAGGGGTGATTCTCAAGGATGCCACAAATCCCAGGCCGCACCTGGCAGTGTAGCGCCCGCCTTCGCCCACGCTGATTTGCGAGATCTGCAGCGCCAGGTCCATGGTGATACATGGGGCTTGGGAGCTATTTCAAGACAAGGCCATGCTTGAATTTGTTTATACAGTACACAAACAGATAAAACAAAAAAAAACGTAGATTCATGTGATTTCCGCAGCTGCTGGAGAAAAGAACTACGATAATGAGTGAACTTTCATTTGTTGGGAGGGTTACTATACATCATACATACCGTTACATAATACCGTTACATTCCGTTGCATACCCTTCATCATATCTATAATCATATGTATCATCACATCTATGATAATAACTATCATCAAAGTTATCCTCATATCTATCATATATACATATATATATATATATTATCATCATATATATATATATATATCATCATATATATGTCATCATCATATATATATATAATTATATATATTGTCATATTTATCATCATGTATATCATCATATATATCATCGTGTATATCATCATATTTATCATCATATCTATCCTCATGCCTATCAATCAGTCAATCATTCAATCAATCAATCAATCAATTTATATATCTATCTATCTATCTATCTATCTATCCATCTATCTATCTATCTATCCATCCATCCATCCATCTGTCTATCTCTATCCATCTATCCATCCATCTGTCTATCTCTATCCATCCATCCATGCATACATGCATACATGCATATTTGTCCCTATATCGAATTAGCATTGGCTTGCTGGCATATAGCAGCGCCAAGTCCCCGAGTCCGGACCGGTCACTAGCCACCCAATCCTTTCGTGGCTGTGACGTACCTTGTTTCCAGATTATTTATGTATAACCCATAGGATCCATATATGGTATATATGCTAACATTGGGGGTATAGTGATGGTAAATGTTACCATATATAGCATACATGGATCCTATGGGATATGGAATCCATATTCATGCTCTTTGCGCTTGAACTGTTCAAACATCTTCCGGCAGTTTGAAGCCTATTCGACCTATTCTTTCTATAACTTGTCATTTAGTTTGGGTCAAACCCTGATTTCGCGGCATTTCTGTAGCTTTCAACTTGTCAAATGTGAACGTCCCGGAACAAAAAATACCAAGGCACTCCCTGGGACGCGGCGGAAGGCAGCCGCGGAAGGCTTCCCGAGTCCTGGTCCTTTGAAAAATGGATTGGTCGAATTGAGAAGATCTAGAGGAAACATGAGGAAACCATGGTTTTTACCAACAATTATGGATTTTGGGACCTCTACACGTTTTTTTTAAACATTTTTTTACCATCATGATATGGTCAATATTAGACAATCCTGCCAGAAAATAATTCGATCATAAAAACAAAAACACACATATCTACGATGGACAAAAACTTACTGCTGCTAAACGCAGGGAATTTTCGCTGATGATCCCAGTCATCACTAGTAATGTCATCACATAATCATCCCAGCAATCCCCAGCAACCCATCCATTCCCTGCGTTTAGCAAGAAAATCAACGACCCAATCAAGGTTTACCCATGGTTTACCCAGGAGATGTCACCGCAACAGATTCAGCCTATAGCAGCCTGGCGATCATATTTCTGTTGCCGCTGGCTGAAAACAAATGGTGGCTGAAAACACGTGAAAAGAGGTATAGTATAGCATAGTATAGCATAGTATAGCATAGTATAGCATAGTATAGCCATAAACTCCGTCAAACGCCTGGTGACCCCGAGCATCTGGTACCATAAATGCATGCTGGACATAGCCGGGATAGTCAAAAGTGCGGCAAAATACGTCTATGGTGTGTGGTCGTCCATGCCAGAGTGGGAATCCTTGTTACACCCATTAATGGGTGTATACAGTGTATAAGTCCCTGTGAATGGATTGATGACTATTCCCCATAGGAAACCAACTGGCTCCTCCAACGGGGCTGTTTCAGCACCTCAGCAACCCTTTGGTATCTGGGATGTAAAAAAATGGGGATGGATGAAAACACCCTGCAAAACTAAGGTTGTAACCATGAAACAAATGGGTTATATTAATATTAAGGTTGTAACAGCATGTTGTAACCATAGAGGAAAAGGTTGTAACCAGCAAACATAAGGATATACAAGGATACAACCATCAAGCATATAGCTATAAGTCAAGACCTAAACCAATTTCCCAGGGGATGAAGATCATACTCACTACGAGCTGAATTTCCATGTTCGAACCAGGAATCTAGTGCCTGAGTTCCTACAGGTATGTGTTTTTTTGATACGCACTCAGCGCACCCCTGAGAACTGACATGAAACCCCCAGCTGGTTTGGAATTTCGGATGTTCGGACCTTGGAAATGGCGATGTTCGGGGACAGCTCCCCATTGCGTCAGACCCTGAGTGCTCCACCACTGAGGGTCGTGGGACTTTGTTCCTCTGCTCATCAAGCATGGCTGGGAAAAATTCCCCATTTGTCGATAGGTTTCTCCCATTATAGAACCTCCATTATTAGGGATTTTCCATGATTTTCCCATTGCAAGAAACGGTTTTTCAAAATCAAACGACCAGGATTACACATATGCCATCATTCACATTGAAAGGATGATCCCTCGCCAAACCGTTAGCTCTTGAGACCAAGAAATAACATGTGGCTTAACGAAGTTCCACAGGTTGAAAGAACTCATGGACGATGTGTTTTTCCTATCTTTGGGGGATTACTACAGATATAACTGGCCTGTATTGTGTTAATCTTAATTGGTCCTCACAAAAGCATCTGCAATATATATATATATATGCGAATGTCAGTTAAGAGGTCCAGACTCATATATATATATATATTATATTATATGATATATATAATATATTATATATATAATATATATATATAATTGTATGTATATCTATAATTTTTGTATACATATATAATAATTATATAAACACAATTTCACCGGGATAGGCAAGTAGCTGCCTCCACCGTCCCGTCGGCGATCGACTCCTTGGCAACAAAAAACTGATCTGGAGAGACAGAAACCCAGAGTTTGGTTAATAATGGTTAATCTATGGTTAATCTATGGTTAATCTATGGTTAATCTATGGTTAATCTATGGTTAATAATGGTTAATAATGGTTAATAATGGTTAATAATGGTTGATAATGGAAATTAATGGATGACTAATGATGATTAAGGGAATATACCATCTGGTTATGACTAACATAGCGAACTCGAAGGATCCACCATCTTTAATAGTTCAATCAGTTCAATCAACTATTTCTATGGGCCATTTTTCAGTTCGCTACGTTAAATTACCAGAGGGTAAGTTGTTTTTTGTCAAATAACATCAAAAACAACAAACCACTAGGGTTGATTTGAAATATATAACATTAACATAACTAGTAACTAGTTCATACGGATGTTCAAGGGGATGATACTGGCACGTTTTGCCGCAGCTCCAGATTTATACCACAATTGGATCATGTGATGGCGCAATGTGGGGAAACCCGGTAACATCAACAAAGACCATAAAACATGTGCCAATGTGATTGGCAACATCAAGTTTTTCTGTGTTTTATTTTGTGGATTTTTTTCGACCAAACACCATCAATCAAACATAAAAAACAAAAGTGTCTGTTTTTGGTTGACAGTCAGTACCATCTGGTTATGACTAACAGTTCGCCATGGAACATCCCCATTTCTTATAGGTAAACCACCGAACTAAGCGGGCCATCTATACCATCGGTGAATCAGTGGCAATCCACTGAGCCCCCACACCACCTTTTGCACGTCATCCAATGTCAAAACCTGCCGTCTTTTCTTTGCGGCAAAAGGGGTAACCCTATGCCTATGCCTTGTGTTGGGGAAGCAGATGGAACCATTGACTGGTCTGAAGAAGCTAATAATTCATGATGTATTAAAAATAAATATGTATAAATGATAATGTATAAATCAGTAGGCTAAGGCCCTTTTGGGATACTATGGGATACTTACCCCGTCACTGATTGATCATGATTCCAGTGACATCGCGTTGTGAGGTTGCTCCCTCCTCATCATCGGATAGCTGCAGCAAAGGGGTTAATACATCATGGCATTCTAACTCTTAACGTATAAGAATCATGATCCGTTCTTGTCCATAATTTGAATCAAAGAGCCTGTAGTTCGCACATGTTCACTCTATTTATATATATATATATGTATGTGTATCTCGCCATCAAGCAATCAACATTTTGTGTCAAGAACCTTCCGCATAACCACCTGAGAAAGTGCTGAAAAAGTCTAGGCCCCATCAGCCCAGGGTGGAACCAGCGATCGCCTTGGTCGGAAACTTATCATCATGTCCCCCATAAAAAATACCCGATTAATCTAATATTCAATCAAATCATATCAGTTTGTTGGTCATTCATGATGTTGTATGTGCAAAAAACAACTAATATACATAGACCCTCCAATGAAATACCACCCAAAAATGGTAACAGCACTAGGGTAAAGCATGATAAAACACTATTTCTATGGGTACTTGGAGGGCTAGGCACAAAAGTCAGTTTCGTATCCCCATCATATCCCCATGATAGTTGCACCTCGGCCTTCGCGCAACAGCTGGTTGTAACACCTTCGAAAGGGCGCCCCGCTGTGTTTAGACGGGTTGCTTGGTGGAGAATTATGGACAAACTATGATTGATGATATTGCTTGACTTAATTTTTATTCACTGTCCTTACTATCCTACCCCCTATACTGTATGTACTTTTCGATACTGCTTTATGTTTATGTCACTGGTGTTGTTATATATTTATACGTATGTGTATATATATATATCCTAGTTCATTCCTAGACGAATTCAAGGCTTTTGTCTGGGATAATTAATTGATGAGGTCGCTGTGAGTTGGCACCACACTATATGAATGATGAATGTCGAGTGAAGGTACACGTGAATGACCGTCCATTGCCAATGGGGCATTTGTGGGTGCACACACACCTGAAATGCTGACCATTTTGGGATTATTCTCCAGGGAAGTCTTGAAAGGATTTTTGACAGGAAATACTATAAACCAACCAGGGTTACCCAACCAGGGTCAGTCAAAGAAACATCTCGCACCCTGGGCCTTCATTCTATAGTTTTCTCCTCCATGACGATGATTTCAAGGTTTTGGTATGGTTTGATCAAATTATGTACACATGAAAAACAGGTTCATTTGCTGCGGATTGAAATAGATTGCAATGGTGTCATGGTGTCCATTTCAGCGCAGCTGTCTCTCCAGGTCCCAAACCCATCTCGCTTCGAGATCACCTGGTGAGAGCGGGGGTGAACTCTTTCAACAAGGCCAACATGGGGCTTACATTTACACCTTACAACTTACAACGCATAAAACACGGACTTAGGGTACCTACTTGTACCTCCAATTTTCGTCCCAATTTCACGGAAGTGGACATTTCTATACGTTAAAACCCCAAACATGATTCTTGGGTGAAATTAAAAACACATCATATATATATATATATATATTCATATGTATATAATTAATATTTATATATATACACACGCTGAGCCCAGTTTGAAGTCTGGTTCTACCCTTTGAAGTCTGGTCAAGATCTCTTGACCCCATCCCATGTTCGATGTAAAATTATGTTGGACATCCGGGTTTCTTCACATCACCAAGACAGACAAAGTAGACCACACATATACCACACATATACCACACATATTACATATATTCCATCCAATTCCCTTTCTGATTGATGCTTCGCGATGGGCGGAAGTCGGCCTCCGTCACGAAACTTCACCCACGCTAGTAACGCCGCGGAGCTTTTTTGACGCCCCCGGAGCTTTTTGGGCCAAAACGGCGTTGCGCGACAGGTGACTTTTTTGTTCATGGCGTCATGTCAAAGTACCGGAGAGTATTTCTTGGTTTTCTTGTGAAGTGGTGAAATGTTTAAATACACGCAAGATGAGGCAGGAAGGGTTAAAAGAGTAACAAGCCACATGTTCTTTTTTTAATGCCAAAAATATCCAGAAAACATGTTTTTTAGAGTAGATCAAGGGACTCTTGTAGATGTTTCCTTCAATTGTAGAGGAAATCGGGTGATATTTCAGGTGCCCAAATTGGAGGTACCTAAATGGACAGTTGCAGAACTCACATGACATGTTTTCTTTTTGCTTTCATATGTTGATGGTGCAAAACGGTTCGCCACATTTGCAAATATGGGTCCATTCCAGTTGCGGCAGGTGCATCCACTGGCTAAATATCATTGTTTTCCCACTTAAAGTCACAGTTTTTGGCTGTATGGGCTAATATGGATACATTTCCGGACAAACCCACATCCCATCCCATGCCACCCAGGGGGGTGCCACGGCATCCACGGCCACTCTCCTTCTCACTGTTGGCATAGGCTGCATCGCCGATGATGCGTGCCGCACGGTCGGGTAACGCCTCACGGGTGGTGATATTGGATGATATCTAACAGGATGCAGAGGGGATAGAATGGATTCAATCTGGATAACTTATTACAATGTCAACCCTGGACTGATACATGTAAACCCTAGCTGCTTCATTGGGGGGTACGCTCCCCAAATAGTGATGTCATCTGCTAGTAAAATGGTACACCCCCCCTGTGTTTAAGCCCAGGGTTTTATTAATCCGGGTTGACATTGTCATGGTTGGGCACTGACAATGAAGAAAACATAGGACGACATGTTTAGCACACACAATATGGACCATAGCATTTTCTCTGGTTCTGTTCATCAAGAAACTGGGATATCATTGGGATATTTCTATAGTCTAGTCGCCAACAGGGGATATTGGGTCTGTAACAGTTTTTCAGGAAAAATGGAGGGATATGGGAAATTCTGTCACCAACAATGGGGATGTTACCAGGATATACCTCTTTCCGCTTGTGATTTTTGGGGGCATGGCCCCTCCAACCACTGCAGCATGGCCCCTTTGTCTCAAGCGCCGATGGGGATCATAGCCCATTCCTCCGCATCGTGTGGCGTCGGCATACGAATTGAGATATCTAACAGCTGCTATTGGAAAGAAAGTTGCAGCTGCAATTATGAAACCTCCTATGAAACCTCCCAGGCTTACAAATTAAGTGAGAAAACCAATTCCCATATATTCCCATTGCCTGACTAGCTAAAGTAGCTGCATTTGGGCCTTTGGTTGGTCATATCAACCATGTCACAAGCCCACGACCACTGTGGTGCTGGTGACATGTTTGTCATACTGGTCAGAAATATGCGAACATGTTCCTTGTTTCATTCCCATGCTTGTTGGTTTGCTGTATAGTCTGTTACCTTGGGGGATAAGTTTCACCCAAGTTGGAGGCAGGTGAACGTCTTGTTCTTCCGGAAAAACAAGTGTTTGGATTTTGTTTGCTCAGATCTAAAACATATATATCTGGTTGGTGGTATACCTACCCCTCTGAAAAATATGAATTCGTCAGTTGGGATGATAACATTCCCAATATATGGAAAGTCATAAAAAATGTTCCAAAGCACCAACCAGATATAGTTTATCCAAAAACAAGTGTTTGTTTATCCTCAGAAATGATCCTTCCGGAAAACTTCTCCAGCGATAGGGGCGAAGCTGTAGATGCTATAGCCCATAGCAGTGCTATTTTTGATCGCCAGTGTAGGTGAATATGAACATGTTGAACATGTTGAACATACCCGGACGTAGATATATCATGATATATCTAGTTGTTTTCAAGATCAATTCGCCGCTTCATAGCCATCCTGGCTCAGCTCTCAGATGTCTACTTTTGTTCATCAACAAATTCCGCCACCTGTCGCCATGTGGAAGGCCGCCAGGTGGGATGTGGGATGTCGCAGGGATGTTGACGATTGCTAGGAGCCAAACATTTGTGTGGTAGGGAAACAGCAGCTACTGTTTTTGTTAAAAAAAAACGTTGGCTATATTTATGTATTGCTTGTATATAGTCAGTTACCTACAACATGTAAATACAGAATAGTATATTATATTATACTATATTATATTATAATGTTCTATTAAATTAAATTATATATATTATATTATATTATATTATGTTAAATTATATTATATCACATGTTATGTTATGTTATGTTATATTATATTAAATGATATATTATTTTGTGTTATATATATATATATTATATTATATTATATGTATATATTAAATATTAAATTATATATATATATATTATATTATATTATATGTATATATTAAATATTATATTATATATATATTAAATATTATATATTATATATATATCACATATAATATATAATATAAAATATATAATGTAGAATTTGAACTATATTATATATATCATATATTTTATACTACATATTGTATATTATATATATTGTATATTATATATTCTAGAGTATTCATGCTATACTATATATTACATGTTATAATATATATTATATATATATATTAAATCATTATAATATATATATATATGTATTCAAACTAAATGTGTCATAATACATACATATTGCTCGCCAAGAGCATTGCAGTTTTCCCATTTCGACCTCTAAACCCTATCTTTCCAGGCCAGGTTTGAGTTAGTTATCCCAAACATCATGTACCTCATGTCTCCATTTATGAAAAAGACAACTTGGAAGTTGACCTAGAAACATACCCTGGGGTTAACTAACATAGATGTGGAAAACCAATATATAGATTGTGTGCATAAACCGTTGACAAGTTGACATTGATTTTCCACATCTATTTCAGTTCACCTGCAGGTAACTTAGCCAACTGTGCCTGGCCACTTGGGAACAGACCGACCGCTTCGGTCGCTTCGGTTCCTACGCCGAGCTCCAGACTGGTGATATATCCACGACGCTGATCCTTCCTCAGCATCGTGAACAACTGGGAACGATTGGCCAAGGAAATGATGTCCTTTACCCAGCAAAGATACAGGTCTTGAAAAGAAATTTCAAGAAAATCTTCATAATGCCAACAAAAGTTCGCCAAAATGATGGATATGCTGGATATGCTGGGGCCAGCATTTAATGTGACTGGCACATGTTCAATGTCACGTGGCCACGTGGGCAACCCACAAGCCACCCTGAAGCTCAGTGATTGGGGACCATCATCCGAGGTATCAAACTGTGCTCCGCTATAAGTTTGCCTTGATATAAGGAAATGGATGAAAACCGCTCAAATACTACTATATTATATATTGTTGTGATAGTGATGATGAAAAGAAAAATTGAAGCCAATAATCTTGGAACAGCAGGGGTACAAGGTTTTGACCCATTCCCACAATGAGATGGCTAGTGGACCCCCAGGTCAGAATCCCGACTGGCGTGACTTTAGGGGTGTACATGGATGTCTCTTAAAAGTGAGGTTTGATGAACATATGATGAAACGATGATGATGATGATGATGATGATGGTGGTGGTGGTGGTGGAAATGGTGACGATTCTGATGATTCTGATGATGGTGATTATGATATTAAACCATGAAATGAATAATCATTATGGTTTGTTCTGGATTGGAGGTATACCCCATTTTTGGACAACCCACATTCCATTTATGTTTACCTAGACAGCACGTACTCATTGTTTTGGGCGCTCAACATGCTGCTTCGCTTATGCGAAATGCAAACAAATGCAGCAGGGATGGCCTTTACCAATCTGGCAATCGAACACAAAAAAAAGGTTCAACCAAACAAATTGCCAGTTAGGTTACCAGTTAGTTTACTGGCAATAAACACCAAACAAACATCTATACAGCATATCGATGTTTATTGCCTAGATTACCGGCGGGTATTGCCAGTTCCCGCAGGAAGTGATGGAATATCCTCACCACATTGGCACGAGATGTTTTGAAATATTCAAACCTCAAACACCAATTTCTTTGGATGTTTGAGGGTGAGACCTGGCTGTTGCGTTTGAGAGGAGTTGCTTCTTTTTTGTGATACGTTTTTTTCATCCGGTTGTCAAATGAAATTGCATGAGACACGAGAGTATAATGTCTAAATTGGGTATATGACGTGTCCAACTGTGGAAGACAACCCAGCCATGAACTTGTTCCTTCAACAATGTACCAATCTGCCACTACACATGAAAGAGAAGATGTGGACCATAGTAGGGATCCATGTGCAGAACCCGCAACTTGTGTCATGAATTCATTGTTTCCAATTGATCTATGCGTTTTGTGTATGTACATAATTGTACCTACATATATTTGTAATATGATGTGTATTGTGCATGTGTCTTTTGTACATATGTATCTTGTACATGAGTAAATTGTAAATGTGTATGTTGCACATTTGTGTATATCTATCTATATACACTTTTGTCATACTGATAAATTTATTCATATATTGATATATACTCCTGCAATTTGCCTAAAAATTACCTGATTGAAGGTAAGTATTCTATCCATGTATCTCTTGTTACGCCATTCGACCACAGTTCACCACCCCGACATGTTGCTCAAAGGTTTAAACCCATCCCTGCAGAAACAATTTGGATACTCATCCAAAAACGGGAAGTCACTACCCTGTCAGTACACCATCTTTATCATCGGTTATCAATGCTTATCTGTTGCATTGAAACCACCGTGTTTTCAGAAACATGACACAACAAATTTGTGAAAACTCCCCTCAAATTTCAGCGGTGGCGGTCAAGATTTCAGACCACAGAATTTCTGGAGCAGAAAATGGTGTGGTGAACACCAAACCAGCCTGTAGCTATGGCATTGTGGATGCTCATGCGATTTCATGGCCCCAAAATAAAAACATCTTGGCAGAGTCCTTTGAGTCTGCGGTCGCATCTTTTTCAGCATCCCATTCTGCACTAGTCTCAAGGATTCGCCAACACTCTGGGATAGACAGCACCAACCGAATATAGAGCTGGCTATTCCCATTGCCCAACACAAATATGGATATTTTTATGTAATGACGTTGGGTTATCTCGTTGAATATATTCTCACTGCTCAACAAACATATCCGTTATGTTACCCTCTGGCTATTTAACATAGCCATGGTATAGATGGCCCAAAAAAATAGAGGTTTACCTAGCTATAAAATGGTGGATTTTTCCATGGCAAACCGTTAGTCATAACCAGATGTTATATTGAAACCACCAGCGGAATCCTCGGCTGAATGGGATCCTCCGGGCGGATCAAAGGATCACTTTCGTTGGAATATAGTTCAGTGACAGGTCCTTACTCCTCCTCAGTCCAACAGTCAGCGGATGAGGGTAAACTAATGGGAGAAAACCTATCAAAATTGATCTGCTATCCATTCGATGATGGGTCAAAACCTATCAAAATCCATAGTGAGGGTAGCGTATGAAAATGTTTTACCACGTATTTTGACGTTCAGCGGGGTACAAGGGTTTTGATATGTTTTGCTCTATAGCCATTAGCAACACCCAAACAGAAAAAAAAAGTAATCTAACACTATTGTGGTAGTATTTAAATTGTTTTTTTTGTGGGTTGCTATAGGTTTGTCTGAGAATGGGATATACCATATGCCCCCCATGTTTGGACAAATCCATACCACGTCACGCTGCAAACAATCTCGCTGGGTATGACAAATGTCATCATGGCAATGTTGCAAAGATTGACTTACCAAACCAAGGTCTACAGGAACCGTATCCAATTGTTTTGTGTATAGATATGTAAGCAAATACATATCTATATATATACATACATACATACATATATATATATATATAGTCATAAAAATATTGTAACTGAAAATGGGGTATATCCCGAAAATAGTCATTTAAACAGCAAACATACACCCTCCACGTACCCATAAGAATGGCGTTTAATTAGAATGGTTCTTTACCCCATAACTGTTGTATTTTTACAATTTTATGGCGGGTATTTGGAGTGTCTAAGTATATATATATATAGTATAACCATACATTCATATATATATATACATACAATATATAATATATGTGTATTATCATATATTCATACATATATATATATATATATACATATGTTATAAGATATCGTGTGTTCATATTATCATGCAACTGAGTACGTATGTTATGATTATTAAAATAAATCATAGGTATGTATGTATGTATGTAAGTATGTATGTATGTATGTATGTATGTATGTATGTATGTATGTATACATATATATATGTATATATCATAATGTATATATAGATCTATGGACCCATATATATATATATATATATGGGCACATATATATATATATATTTTTTGCATGTATACAGTTATTGTAATTATAATATACATGTGTATACATATGAAACACATACATAAGAATAACAATCAATAACATTCATAATGAAACTACTAATAACAGTAAGAAAAGCAATAGTAATAGTGATAACAGTGATAACCATAAAAACAAGAGTATATGATAATATGGTAAAATATCATTATATGTAATTGTCATTCTTTTTACATATCATATAAGTATGACAAGGGGTGAACTCAGCCACTTGCCAATGATTTCCCCATCGTTCCAGGGACTCATCCAAATTGCGGCTTAAATCTTTCAATTCCTGTGTTGAGAAAATCCCTGTGTGCACATGGTGGTTGAAAAACCTATCTGAACAAATATGCTCGTCAATGGGAACAATAATTCCACGGGTTAAACACATATACATATTATATACTATATACATATATATATATATGTATAAAATTGTATTAAAAAAATTGAAACATGTTGAAACCGACAACCAGATCATGGTTACATAGCTATCCTTCCATGATCTCCATTGGATCCAAAAGTCTGCTTCAGCCAAATGCTGGGCAACTTGCGGTGGCTCGAAGCACTCGACGTGTAGCTTCCCGTGTAGCTGCCCGTGTAGCTGCCGCTACCCGTGTAGCTGGCCTTGGGTCATTATGAAACGCGCATGGTGCTGGTATGTTTGCCTATGGTTGCATGACTGGATGATTTTGGAAAGTTGGTGAATCTTCTTGAATATTCCGCATGTGGAGTTGTGCCGTACAGCCTTCTTCGCTCCTTACAATGCTTAGTTGTGCCGATGAAGTTCCAACTCTTTCACATGACATGTTTGACTCGTTTGGCTTGACTGAAAAAACAGAACCATGTGAGCAGAAACATTACGGTATTAAGTTTAACCTCACATTCATATTTATAACTTCAAGAACATGAGAATCAAAATGCCACAGAGTTCCGCAGGTGATACCCATCCCACCCTCGCAGCCACAGCACCGATCTCAAGGAGCCAGAACTGCGACTGCGCGTGGACCTCGACATCTCAGAACGCACGGAGGCGACTTCAGAGGCGGCTTCAGAGGCAAGGGACACTGTCCTGGGAGATGGAGGATATGGAGTTCTTTGATATGAATATTTGTGGAAAATTAATATTATATACCAGTAGTACCGCACAAGGCGGTGGCGGAAGTTTCAAATAGGAAACCTATAGGAGACGTTGGTTGTTGTGAATCACGGATGGCAGAGCGAAGCCACTGATTGACCGAAAGGTGGTTGGAGTTGTGTTTGCTGGAGTGGTTGCAATGGTTGCAGTGGTCACCTCACCCACAACTGCTGGATGTAGTGTGATGTACTGCAACTGTAGTTGTAGTTGTAGCGTAGTGGAGTTGTAGTTGTGGTGTAATGTAATTAGTGCAGTGTAGTTGCAGTCATATAGTTGTAGTTGTAGTTGCTGTGTAGTTGTAGTTGTTGTGTAGTTGTAGTTGTTGTAGTTGTAGTTGTAGTAGTTGTTGTTGTAGTTGTAGTTGTAGTTGTTGTGTAGTTGTAGTTGTTGTGTTGTGTAGTTGTAGTTGTTGTAGTTGTTGTAGTTGTAGTAGTAGTAGTAGTAGTAGTTGTTGTTGTTGTTGTTGTAGTTGTAGTTGTTGTTGTTGTTGTTGTAGCTGTAGTTGTTGTAGTTGTAGTTCTAGTTGTTGTGTAGTTGTAGTTGTAGTTGTAGTTGTTGTAGTAGTAGCTGTTGTTGTTGCTGTTGTTGTTGTTGTAGTTGTAGTTGTTGTTGTTGTAGTTGTTGTAGT